ATCCGTCATGAATTAAACGCTTACGATCTAATATCGATACGCACTAGTGCAAGACTATTATCTCTTCTTGAGGTGAAATTGATAAAACGAAACTCTTTCTTCCCAGTGAGCACTGCTCTTTTTTTCCCCCAGACACTGTTATCCAAAGTTATTCCGAGCCAGCGATAAAATAATGCTTTGAGAAAGTATATAATTATATTCCTTATAAATATAAATTATTAAGTATATAATTACATTCCTTATAAATATACATATGATTATATGACTCGTGTGTTATTTTTCATTTCTCGAGTTGTTGGATAGACAACTGACAATGAGTTTGAAGTCTGATTGAACGTCGTCATCGCGCAACAACATTTGTTAATTGAAGCGACAATTACTGACCGAGTCAACGGTTTAGTGAATCGAGGTAATGAGTGAGATGAAGTATACAAGGGCGCGAAGCGATGTTTACGTTGTCCGTTGCTATAGCAGTTCTATTAATACGTCGTTCCCGTATATCGCATACAATATTAATTTAGAATATCGCGAAAAATAATACGCATGTATGTATAAATAATGAAAAAAAGATATATAAAACGAGAACGAACGCGTATATTTTACATTCACACGAGGTGCAATACACATAGGAGATACACGCGACAAAACCGAAATACTGGGATGCCAAATTATGGGACGCATGGCCGATTTGAATGAAGCTAAAAATACATTTTGCGTCATATGGTTTATCGTTGAACGTCCGGTTTAACGAACGTTTTGTTGCCGAACAAAGGCTGCATTAGTACAGAAATATCGCGCTCGTGTGCACCCGATATATACACGGTATAGATATATGTGCATAGATTACACCGTGAAATTTTGTGCCGTTCTCTCACCTTCATGCAGATGTGACATATAATAAAGTGCATCCCATTGTCCATACGAAATCTCGCAATTAAATTTATCGAATTTATCCCATCTGGGGATGCGCGAAATATCGGATGATACAATAATACTCTTAAATAAAAATACGCTTAAATATCAAACGCAATCAAAACCTACGTTTCCGCAGTTCTTTGTATTGTTTTTTTCAATTATAAATCAGAGTAAAATTTCCTTTATTTTTCGCCACATAAAAATTTCATGAAATTATGTTCATTAAAATGATAGAAGCTGTGTCATCGTTGCACGATTACATAGATAAAATAACTATGAAAAATTATGAATAATAAAATAATAATAAACGAGAAAAAAATATATAAAGTAGAATAAATACAAATATTTATAAATTATAATCTATTATTATATGCATGTTATAAGTAATTTTACTTTCCTTGCAATTTTCTTTTTTTTTAAATTGCAATATTTTTTGTTATACGATTTTATGGCGACTGATTTGAAATATAATATAGCGCATAAAACTGCAAAGTTCGAAAGGAAATTTTTTTTATTGTCAGATGAATGAACGATCTATAAGTACAGCTCGTCAGAAAAAAATTCTTTAAATCCTTAATTTTATTGCGCATACAATTGGAAACTTGCTCGATTGTTGCCTTTATCGTCGAAATAAACCTTCGATCTCTCTTTATCCTGCCAAATAGGCACTTGGCTAGTCGGATTAATACGATTCCGTTTACTGTTTGCCGTATAACGAACTGTACCTCGCATCGGAAATACTAATGGATCGAGGTCTCATTAGTGAATGTTGTATCACACGCTATTGACGTTAGTCACATATGACAAGGTATTATATGCGAGAGATTGTTAATTATTTAGCATCTAACGTGCATGTGAGAAGAAGAAAAGAAAATTAAAAAATGCATAGTATTTACGTTATTTTATAAATATGGATATAAATACTTTGTTTAGCGATGCAAATTATTGTGAAATATCAATGACGTCTGCTTATTTTCGTCGAAATTTAGAAATTAAGAATTCCGCATATTAAATACGCTCTTGACGTAGATTCGATGCTAATTAAAGCAATTTATTTGGAGAATTTGCAATAAACCTTAAACATATCCCACAATGTGCGTTCTATAGATCTTGTGCCTTCTATAGATCGTCTTTGTCGATTTCTTTGATCTATAAATAAATGTGAAAAATATGTACGAATACGCATCATCGACTAATATCTTATTGTTAGCTGAATATTTTTGGTACTGACGAATTTGCCTTTGACATTATCGATAGTATATGAAGAAGTATCAGATGATATCAATACTAATGGCATTTAATATCGAATAAGTAAAACGAATATCGGGAGACCGATCTCTCCGCGATTCGATTGCGTCAAAAACATCGTCGCGACTCTCTCTTATCGGCTCTTCGCTCGATTAAACCATAACGGGAGGAATTGACAATCAGCGAATGTTTTTTTGGCACATGCCGTCATCGTTTCATCCTAATTTCACGTAAGTGTGACGCACAATTCGAGTCGATCAAAAAGGTAAGGTCACTCGATCAATGATAATGATCGACGAATCAATATGTATCTCGATGGTTCCTCGAAGAGAAACGACAGCGATTAAAAAACGCGCAAGTTTCGAATTCCAGTGGTGCAAACGGTGTGTTCAACACGCACGATTAATCTCCCAGAATTCATCGCGATCGAATAATCGGAATGTTATCGAAGTTTTATCGATAACGAGGCGGGTTGTCCTTGTGCGTTACCGAGAAAAGTTCTCGACGTTCGTTACGCGTTTAGTTGGTTATATATTAAATCATGCTGATATTGTTCGTTATTATTATTTTTGACGATTTTACAAATTTTATTAGAGAATGCAAATTTTATTAGTTTAAATCGCACTAATAATTTCTGCATTTTTAATTATTGAATTTTATTTCTATACGAGCGTGAACATATGACAAACGAACGTAAGAATTCGACAATTTTGTAAAATAATTTTGAAAAAGCGAAATTGCGCTTTACTTGCTGCAAATGATATCATGCTAAAAATGAAAAAGGACACGACGTATACTTGCAGATTTTTATGACGATGATTTGTGTCAACGAGATAATTGGCAGCCCGCAGGAATGAATTGAGAATTTTTATAAGAAATTTATGCTATGATAATTATTTTACACAGAGAAAGAGAGTGAGAGAGAAAGAGTATGGCTCTTATCAAGGTAGGAGTCGTGTATAAAGCATCGCTACGAAAATAGAACCCATCACAAAGTACCGCATCAAGTGCTACTCCATGTAACGCGTTCTCTTCTATAAAGCGAAACGATAAATTGCATTTCACCGAGATGCAATAGTGATGGCGGTCCCGTAATCGGCATCGTGACTGCGCGCTAAGAGAGGAAGGTAATGAATTTAGTCGGTTTTTTCAACGTTTTTCCTCACCCTTTCTACCTCTCGATCGCAATTACGTAATGTCGCCCACCGGAATCGAAGGAACGAGGCGGGGGAAGGGAAGACATCCATCGTTGCACTTCGATGCAGCTGCGACCGCTGCTCTCCTTCCTTCATCCGCGATGCATTTTGTCATATATAGCGTGTGCTCCATAAATCGGCTCCGACGATGTAGATTGCATTCCGATACAATGCAAATGATGGAAATAGAGAGAGAAAGACGAACGGAGGAAACGCGTAACACTGTTGCATCGGGATGACCGACCTCCGCGGATTTTATTGTTACATACGAACGCTGCTCCCATCGATAACGAGAAATCGGAATCCATGATGGGGACAGAAATACAGGGAATAATGCATATTCTAACGACCTTCGATATTTTTTCGATTCCGAATCCGTAAACGTCATACGAGATATTTAAGTATTTCAAGGCGTTACAAGAATTGAAAATCTTTTTATAACGGAATGATAGATTAATCTGGCGGTTGATTAAAATGATAGATGAACTGGCACACCTTTACACCGAAAAATAGTTTAGAAATAAAGAGGATAATGTAATGTGTGTGTTACACGATCGACGATAGCATCCGATTTGCTCAAATTTGAGGCAGAGATGAAAGGCTAGAGCGTTGCTAAATTATTTTTGCGAAGCTCAGCTCTTCAATTATAAAAATTCGTCAAAGGAGTCAAAGAAGGATTATGAATGACGATAATGAAATAAGGATACTTCGCGGTATAAGTTTAAAAACCTGCGATAAATGAATTTTTTGTACGAAAAGTGATTGAATAGATCAAATTATGAAACGTTGAAGTAGACACAATACACGAAATTATATTTTAAGTTTTAATCATTTCCGAATTTGCTTGTCACTTTCAAAATAAATCACCATTGTTGAATCAACGGACGGTTGCTGTGAATTTTTACGAAGATAATTAACTTTTGAAAGACATGGTTGAATTACTGTCTCTCTCTCTCTCTCTCTCTCTCTCTCTCTCTCTCTCTCTCTCTCTTTTGTTGAAAAATAAATGACAGAATTTCCTGTCGAGTAACTAAATCATACCATATCGATATTACCGTAGTAACCAGTAATCCGTGCCGTAGTAACCAGTAAATAATGATACAATACGCGGAGATGGAGACTTATCGTTACACCTACGCACGTTAACGTAACAAACTCGGAAACGACCTAAGCCGAGAATAGAGACCTCGAGCGGAGTCGCAAAATTATCTGGCGTTAATCGCGCAAACTAAGATTAATATTATTAACTAATACATGTCTCTTTAAGCGCAAATGCGTGTGGAATCTGCGAATAAAAATATCTCAAATTGAGAGATATATATTCACGGATTCATCTTTCTCGCGCTTTAATCATAATATAATTATATATAATTATTTTGCAAATTTTTATTATATATTTCATACATTATATATTATATATTTTGTTATATTAATTAATTATATATAATTATAATATAATATAAACCATATCCACTGTTAATTCTCTTTTGTCAATTTATAAAATCGATATTTATCGCGACAAAAAAAAGCCAAATATTTTGCTTCCTGTCTCAAGAGATATCGTTTAAAAACTCCAATTTTAAAACATGATAAAAGAGTGCTCGATAAAACTACGTTTACGCTAGAGATAAGTAGACTCACCGTCTTGGAGGACAGACAGGCGTCGTTGAGATAGAGATGATGCGTCTCCCAACGTCGCAGAAACTTGCTGGACAGGATCTTCCTCACGAGGGTTCGTGTATGATTCAGATAGCACACCTGTATGACGCCTTCCTCGAGTGGCTTGAATCTGGGCCCGGCCGGACCCGGACTCGGGCTCGGGCTCGACGAACCGCTGGCCGACGAGCAGCCCGCGCTCTGCCGCTCCAGATTCGGGCAGGACCTCGCGGCTGGCAGGCAACCGGTCGCTTCGAGGACTTCGGGCTTCAGCGAATCTATACCCGGGCTGCTGTCCTCGCCGTACGAGCTGCAGGTATCGGCAGGCGGGGATTCGACGCTGGATCGCAGACTCGCGCCCGACGATAACTGCGGCGAGCTAGTGCTGGTGGTCTCCTGCCGCATCGCGCCGCCATTCACCGACAGAAAATCGTAATAGGGTACCGCGGAGGAGGTCAGACCGACGGTGGACGCGGCTGCTGGACTGGACGGCAAGGACGAGCCGTCCTCCGTCTCGGTCTCCGCGTTGCAGGCTTCCTCCTCCTCGTCGTTCTCTTCCTCATCCTCTACGTCGTCGTCATTCTCCTCCTCGGGCTCGCTAAAGCCGTTCTCCAGGGACGGTATGTCACCGACGGAAGCGGCGGCCACCTGGGAACTCTCGACCATGTCGATTTGCACCGACGACGACGAGATGGTCGTCGCCGTCGCGTTCACGTCCTGTCCATTCTCCTCGCTACGGGGATTTCTCGAGGACGAGGTGGACTCCATCGTCGACTCGCTCGCGGGCGACGGCGACGTCGAGGAGGAGAGCACCTCGCCGTTGTTCAAGCTCGAGGAATCGTTGGAGCGAAGGCGTAGCATGAGTTTGCGACGCCAGCTGCTGCCGTTGCTGCTAGACTTCTTCGTCGGTGATGGCGCGGAATGCAAAGCGGCCTGGTGATTTTCGTCCTGCGCGATCTGTCGCTCGTTGAGATCGGTGGTGCCGTTCAAAATGACAGTTATCCCGCTCGGCGATGTCAGGGCGTCCGCTCCGGGCGACAGGGGTTCAGGATCCAGGTAATCGGCGCGGATACCCGGCAGAGTGTCCGTGCTGCTACCGCCGGACATCGAGGCCTCCTGGTCGATGTATCTGATGGAGGAGTTGGAGCTCTCGCTGGTCGCCTCGGAGCCACGTCGATTGCATTCGGTCGCATTGGACGTTTTACAGGTTGGCGACAGGATAGCGTTGGTCAGCGACGACTTGCTTGCCGACAGCGACGCGGTCGACACGACACTGCGCGACGATCGCGTGAAGGGACTTTGGAAGCAAAACATTGCGCGTTTAGCGAGCTTTACCCAGGGTGATTTATCCGGCGCGATTGTACGCGATTCGCTATCTAGAAGAATTTCTTCCAGTTTTTAGATGAGATTAGAGAACGGCGACAAAGAGAACGCGCCCCGAACGCGTGGTAGTGAGAGTGTCTTTGTTGTAGTTGTATCAACATCAATCGTATCGCCGACGCGGTCGGATAGAAGGATTTACGCGCTGCTTGTTTTTCTGCCTGAACTTTCCCGCACCTCTCCGACGCCCTCGTAGACCAATAATCCTCCGCGTTGGTTGAGGATACAGAGAAAGAGAGAGAGCTCTTTGTTCTTCGGATCGCGTCGCAATTTCCCCGGTATCTATCAACCGGGTTAATCCCGCGTATTTCGACCAAGATTCAGTCCCTTGACGTTCTTCTTCCACCCTCGCAGGGTTATCGTCCGTCGCGATTGTTCGGATACACGAAGGAGGGGGATCACTTGAATGTTTCGGAGTCACCAGCGATCGACCATCGCAAGAAAAAGAGTGTATTGACCGGGCGTAGCAGTCATCGAACCGACGAGTATCTCTTCGCGAACGCGAGGTCTTCGAACATCTCGCGCCGAACTCAGTCACTCATTTTTTTGCGCGCACGTTGAAACGCGCCTCGACACATCTTCGTGGGCTGCGCGGTAGGCGTGTTGGTCCGACAACACTTAACGACCTAATACCGACAGCATCTCGTGTCGGCGCCGAAGCTTTCGGAGTCGATGCCACCTCAAATGCTGCGCCCTGAGAAATGACCTTTATCTGTCTGTTTGCAACAGGATTGCCCGCGGACTACAACGTCGGAGACACTACATGCACGTCGAAGAAATAGAATTCAGGAGAAGGCGGATGATCCGAAAAGAGAGAGGAACAGGAAGAGAGAGAAAAGAGTAGAGAAAGAGAGAGAGAGAGGGAGGAAGGGAGGGGGAGAGAGAGAGGAATAGAGAGAAGGGAGCGAAGAAAGGGACAAGGAGAGAACGCGCCAGGCGTGTTTCCGACGTGATACGTAAATGTCTGACACGACTGGGGACGACAAGACAGGTGGGGACGACCAACAGAGAGCAATGCGAGGAGAGGGCGTCGCGGCGCACGGCGTCTCGTCGATCGATGACTAGTCGGCGAGTTCGCGCGGGATTATCGCACGCTCGTCGTTTGCTCTCCGCGTTTGTTTCTTATCGCCGTGTCTCTAGGTGCGCACCGTCGACCGTCCCGAGGCTTAAACCTGAAGGCGCTTGATCCCAATTCGACTTGAAGTAGAAGTCTGTCCACTTATGACTCGGCAAGAAGGCGATATTTTCTCTCTCGTTGATTGGATCGCGTAATCTCCGTACACCTGGTCTCGTTCACTCGAATTGTTCAGCTCTTTTCTTTTCCTCTCTCTCTCTCGTTGATTGTACGTCGCCGAGTCGGACTTGATTCATAACGCAGGTCTGATTACGACGACGTCGTCGGCATAATCGTCGATCTGTTTCCTGTCGACGGAAATGATTATGATCAGCGAACGTTGTCCTTCACACCGATACAGAGACATATTTTCGACGTTACATCATCATCATCTGTCTCAATTCGCTTATAGAGAGGATTGAAGAAAACGGATAGAAGATCCAATCCGATTAAATTGATCGATTAAACTATTTTTTCCTCCGTGTGAGCAAAGATGCCACATCGATCAACAGATTACGGAGCTAAATTCGTAACGTTCGCTATGCCGATTAAAATGGATCGCGTTGTGTACACGATTTCGCGATTAGATAGTACCAATAAACGCTTATCACCGCCAATTTTTTTTCGTCTTTACAGCTACGCCGCGTGGATTATTCCACTGTGTGTATTGTAGAGTAAATTCAAGAGACCCTGCTGTCTGTGAAATATCCCGATTCCACCTTGGTAAACTTTCTTACGAAACTTGTCATCTGCAGCTGATATTTGCATCTGAAGGCAAAATTTCATGGATATCGATGTAGTAGTTTAATTTTTTTTAAATAGAACCTTGTGATTATCGTATTTATTATCTTGTATTTTCTATCTCGTCCTTAATGCATCGTAGCGTAAATAAAATTCTCCGAAAAAAGTTTTCCGAAACTTCTTCACTTTACAAACTTTAAATGCGTATGTATGCCTACATCGCAAATGATATCACAGGCGAATTTAAGATTCGCGATCGGTCCTTTTAAAGAAATTGAAAATAATAAAACTAGAGTTTTGCCACCAGAATGTACTATTATCTACCGTGAATCGAATTTCGGAGCAGTTTATCGTGCAAACTTCTTCTCGTCTCGCAAAATCGTTAAACGCCGAATCGTCGCTTCGGAAATAAAAATAGCAACGTCACAATCGACTCTGGAACAATTCAATCGTCTCTAAAGCGTGTGTAACTTTGAGCCCAACTCTCGCTACGTTTCGCTCGCAATCGCGTCCTCGAAATCGGAGCACGTACTTTTACCTCGTCCCGTTAGAGCACAAGCGCACATACACGAGCACAACAAAAATATCAACACGCAGCTATTCGGAAGTCTATTCGCAATTTCTGTTATCCGTCTTTATAGTAATAGAGCCACGACTTTTGTCTCGATCGCGAGTTTAAGAGCGACCGCGACTCGCAGCGGCCGTTTCCTCGCGACGTGGATCACTGACGGCAAGCGCGGCGGGCTTTACTCTCGCTCTATCCCGCGGCCGCTCTTTTTCTCGCGACGCGAGTTCATCCCCTCCTTCGAGTCCTCACTTCCTCTCTCTTTCTTTCTCTCTTATTCTCGCGCAATTCCGAAATTATTTCGCGTCCGGAAATAAATCACGCTCGCCTTTCCACGTGCGGATCGTGAAAACACGCGCTCGTCGTGCTCGTCGGGCGCCTTTTTTCCCGTCTTGTTATCGCGAACGGACGGAAGAGCGACGCCGCGTCTGACGTTTCTCCGCGCGCGTGCCGCACGCACTTCCTCGACCGTAAATAGCGTCGTCTCTCCTCCCGCGGCGCTTCAAGTACGCCACGACATCGGCAGCATCGTGGCCGATCGCTACGTTCCCGTTCGCTCCTTCCACGTGAATCGGAGAAGCAGCGGAAGCACGATCAGCGTCGCTCCTCCTCGCGAAACGCGATGACCGACTGCGCTCCTTTACCACGAGGTCATCGTCGAGGTCTCTCTCCTCGACGTCGATCCGCCGACTCGGTTGCTACCCGACTCCCCTCGAGGCCGCGAGAGTGACGTCTTCTTCCCCGCCGACAATCCTCCCTCCTTCTACGGCAGCGGCGACGGTTTTAATTATTCGCAAGCCACGATGCTGGGCACCGAGGTCGATGTCTGCAGGTGGTCGAGAAACGTACGTCACCAATGTTAGCGACGACAGCCTGACGGCTGTCAAAAGATAAAGAGGAACAAAAAGAGAGAGAGAAAGAGAGGGGAAAAGAGAGAGAGAGAGACAAAGAGAAAGAGAGAGAGAGAGAGAGACAAAGAGAAAGAGAGAGAGAGAGAGAAGAAGACACGTGGTGGACCTACAGGTCACCCAGACCGTTTGCCCCGCGAGTAACACCGAGGTATATTCGACACGCCTCTATCACGCCTCCGATGTCGTCGCTGCTGGTATCCCACCTCGTCGTTCTTGTCCTTCTCGCGCTTCGCTACCTCTCTTGCGCATCCTCGTCGTCGGCTTGACGAACAGTTGCTTGTTTCGACGACAATCGTGGATCACCACCAGCTAACACGCGTGCGGTCACGCGACTCGTCGATATGAAGACGCGACGCCAAAGACGACAAAGACCACCGCGACGGCGTCAGCGGGCGTCAGGCATGCGTGTTGGAGAAGCTACCGACTTTCATATCTGTCTGTCACAGTGTCCATCATGCTTCCCTTTTCTACCCATATTTATCCCTTTACGTGCTTTTATCTCTTTCGTTTCCTCTCTCCGTCTGCCTTTTTCGGTGAACATGCCGCATAGCCACGAGCTGATTCACAGGGATTACCAGAGTTGCTGGTGCATACGTTAATATAACGAGTTCGTTGATCAAACCCGTGCGATGATATGCTTGGAAGAAGCTGTATAAATGTCTATAAAACGCTCTTTCATGATTTTTTCAATGTCTCTACTGTTAAGAAAAGGATCCCCTTTGCTCTCATGATTTTAGCTCGAAAAGAAAAACATTACATGTATCAAATGACGATGGAAACCTTCAGCTCTTTATCTGTTTTTCAAAAATGTGTTTCCGACAGTCCAAATAATCCGCAAAGTCTCGCAAATAAATCTTCATCGATTCGAATATAAATTTTCGAAATCCTCTTCGATTTGTGCGTAAGCCGATTCTCTTCCCGATTCATTCAGCAAGTTTTTAAAATCAGGTTACCAATATATTGTCATCGTCACAACGCCGAGTTTTTTGAAAATAATCTTCAGAAGGAGGAGCAAAAAATCATTTAATTAAAAAAAAAGAGAGAGAAAGGAAAAAGTCAAAAGTGTCGATGAGCTGATAAAGCATGTCTGCACGCTTCCACTTACAATTAGATCGTGCAGCTGAAACACGAACGTCGCAGCGCACGCTGTTGACACTGCAGCATTGTAATGAATTAACGCGCGTGCACCAGCTTTCTTCTTCTTCCTTCCCTTCTCCGCTATCCCGACAAGAATACCTGTCCGCGTCGTGACGGCGTTACGTCAAACGCGAGACCTGCGCTCCACATTTTCGCGATACGTATTTATAAACCGATCACGAACACGCCGCTTTGATCCAAATACAACTCGTCAGCGTTCGCGGAAAGATAGTCGATTCTCATCTTCTTCGAGATTCGAGGTTTCCTAAGTGGATTTCTCTACAAAACGAGCTCGAGTGTCTTCGCGAGTGATTGGATTTGCGTCACGTTTATATGTACATGGAAGAATTTCTAACTTACGAAGATTTCTGAAAGATAAATTATATATAACATCCTCTCTTCTCGGTAGAAAAGATTAGCTAATAATATATTTTCAGACCTGCGCGATCTAATTGTGGTACGATGTCCGTTCCTCGTTCCGATGTCTTATTTTTATACAAGCGATCGCAATTTCTTTGTCGAGTTGCGCGCTTTCTCTCAACCGGCTTTCTCTACAATATTTTCACCAAATCTCTTCATGTGAATAGTGATAATGCGGCTTGACGTCAACGCTTCCTTCGTTATCATTCGCTCGAGGCCTATCGCTCGCGTCACCAAAGACGAGACAAGTTTATTTAGAAACCTCGCAAATTTTTCCGTAGACTTTGGTTCGTTGACGTATCGACCGCTTTATGCTATTCTTGTGAAATTCAAGACGCATGTTGCAACACGCGAACGCCGCTGGTACGTTTGCCACGTACACGTCGGTCACGCAACTGTAAGGCGCCGATAATAGCCGCGCGCACGCACGATAATAACCGCGCTTAGATTTCATCCGAGATGGACGTGAGGGATTCACTACAGTCTTCAACTATAGTCGGCATGCGCCAACTTCCACGCGAGTATAAAAGGTCATGCGATAAAAGTATTTTCCAAATTAAGCTCTAATTCTCACGATTGTGACGCTGTCTATGCGTGTCCGTCAAATTATTTTCATTTTCAATGTCAAAAGTCGCTAAAACTGCTCTGAAATAAACGTTGCCGGCGAAGAATGATTTTTGCCCGCTTTCTAATCTAAGTCAATGTAAAACTATTGCTAGCGCGAGAATGTAGGTTTGAAAAACCTTGTTACGCGATAACCGATATATATTTAACATATGTAACGTAAACATCGCAATGACGACATAACATTACAGCATCTTAGAGACTCTCTCTCTTGCGCTTTATTATGTATCAAATGTTACATCTATGTATAAGTATATAAATAATAGTAAATATACAAATATACACACATATGTGTGTGTGTATATATTTGTATGTATAATATATATATATATATATATATATATATATATTTGTATATATATAATATGTATGGCTTAATACTTTATAGGAAATTATATAGGTAGATTTTCTTATCACAATTATCTTCCGTTATGTAATTTTATCCGTCCAGTATTAATAACAAACAAATTATTCAACTTTTTGAAAACATTTGTGTATTTTCTGGAAGGTTTTTAAATTCTCCGAATTATCATAAATTGTCTCTATGCATATATTCCTCAATTTCTTCGATCCTGAAAAATATGCACGTAAAATTTAATTCTCTTTGATCAAATATTTACAGAAAATAGTTTATACAGAATGGAATGCTTACGTGCGAGGAACATCCGTCATATTTTCTACTCCAGTCTCCGTTATAAGGACATCATCTTCTATCCTGACGCCACCAAAACCGCGGAATCTTTGCAATTCTTCTTGCACGAGGAATTTTGACTGATCGGGATTAGCCAGAGCTGCATCCAGCAACTGTAATAAAAAATATTTTACTTAAAGATTAATTTTGTAAGACTTTTATAGACTTACATGTTAATTCTTTCTATACTTACGCAATCTATGAAGTAGCAGCCTGGTTCTATCGTGAGGACCATTCCGGCGAGCAGTGTACGAGCAGTTCTTAGCTTCCTTACTCCTGCATCCTTCGAACGTTCAGGATGATCGGGCAGATATCCGCCGACGTCATGCACATCTAATCCCAAAAGATGCCCCAGTCCGTGAGGTTGAAATACTTCGTTCAAACCTGCTCTCATCATATCCTCGACATCGCCTACCAACAGTCCGCCCTCCTTCAACGACGTCAACATGACTCTGTTTGCTAATAAATGCATGTCCGTCCAGGCGATCCCCGGCTTCGCGGCCGCGATGACCGCGTCGCGCGCCTTCAATACTGCATTGTAAATTAACTTCTGATCCTTGGTGAATTTTCCGTTGGCCGGAAAACTGCACGTAATATCGGCCGCGTATCCGCAATAATTGCCACCCATGTCGAACAAACTGCACAATGTAAAAAAATATATTATGTCACACGAACACGCAACAAATTGAAATACAAATATACATGAACATGAAGAGAATAAAATTATTTCCAGCGGAAATCTTACCACATATCTCCATCCTGTATTACTTTATTATTCGGCGCACCAGCATGACCATAGTGTAATATGGAGGAATTATGTCCGGATCCACAGATACATGTGTAGGACACGTGCCTGCAGCCCCCCGTACCGTATATATAATGCAGAAACCAAGATTCTGCCGTATATTCCGGAGTTCCAGGACGCATAGAACGCATAACGACCTTGTGCGCTTCCGAACTTATCTTGCACACATACCGCAATACCTCAATTTCCTCAGGAGATTTTATTACCCGGCTATAAAACAAGAAGAAGAGAACTTATATAAATATTACATTATATATTATGAAAACTGATTTTTTATTACAAAATTACAAAATTTATTCAGTTTAGAGTACAATGCTTTTTTATCATTTCTTACTTTATTATTAAACCGAAGAGATGTAGTTCAATTTAATTATAATTTTAACCGTAAATTTGTATAAATCCACATGTCAAACACGAAATACAATGTTATAAAGCATCTTCGGCAGCATCTAAGCTTTGCGATAAGTAAGATAACAATTTATCGTCGTGATCTACAAATTTTATCAGTTTTGTATAATCTAAACATGTTACTCGAAAGCCTAATTTTCGAATTTGCCGTTTTCTCATTATCTGCGGTCCTATTAAAAATTTCGTGTTCCAGCAATAATATTCAGGCAAATGAATCAGAATTACTGTATTGACGTTTTTCTTTTTGTGTAAATTCAAATTGAAAACTAGCGTCGACTTTAAGAGCGGATGTATCAAAATATCTAAAACATAAAAATTTATGAGAGGCAACCTGTTTAAAACTACGCTTCTGCTCAACTTTTGTTCGCCGCCAATTAAATGCGCCAGTGGTTTGTGTATTTTATTAATAATACTCCTGATTCTTATGTCCAAATCTAAGGACTTTGCACTTCTGTCTAGATTAATCGGACCGCCTTGATAATCTTTACATTCTAACGACATGCTCGCATCGAACAGCTTTAATTTGGTTTTTAAACGATTAACAATAGGCGCGTCTCTTTGAATTTCCAGCCTATTTACAAGATACGAACTAAAGACTCTATCTAAATATTTGACAGGATATTTTTCGAGATACATGCAAGAAAGGAAAATGTCTAAGACATCGTTCAGTTTCAAATCTGCGAATCTTGCGGATATTACTTCATCAAACTTTTTCCAAAATTCGGTCGGATCCGGCGGTTGTATATTCAATAATCCAAAGGGCGTAAGCATCGAAGACAACAAAGTAGGCGAAATTTCCATTCCGTGTTTTATAAAATATTTTCCACATTCGGCAAGAACGTATGGATTTCTGATCTTTAAATCTTTGCAATAATCCATGATAGAAGCGATTAAATTAGGATCTCTCGTCTCAGTGCCTGTATTTGTTATGTATCTTGCTAATGCCTGCTCGATATTTTCATCGATATATTTCTTCGTGCGTAAACTGTTAATAAAATTGACGAGATCCTTTTCCGTAGACGTAGTCATGCTCACACCTGCCCATTTACTGGCACTTGATAGACATCCCTTTGAAGACTCTTTCTCGTGAAGGCAGTCCAATATATTAGCCATCTGCGTGCCGGACAACTTCAACCATTGTTCCGAAAGTTTCTTCTCTAAGATAATTTGTATCATGTCTTTACTTCGTTGGAAATATTTTAGCGATCTGAATAACGGCACCAATAGATCCGATTTAATATCCTGCTCTCTACACGCCAAACCTACCCATAACGTGTCGACGCAATTTCTGTACTTGGGATCTCTAAAAGAAGCCAAAATTTTTATCGCTCTGATTAATTGCAGCACAGTAAATTCGCCGTCCGTGGCTCTAATCATAATTTCATTGCACATCAAGTCCTTGTAAATGTTCGTCGAAGGATTAAATTTGTCTCTCTTCAGCGCTCTCAATCCCTGCAGTATCATCTCGCTATCTCGACTTTTGACAATCAGATGTACAAGTTGTCGCAAAATAATGTTCCTATTAATGATTTCCGCGGACGATTGACCACTTGACAGGGTTTTTCGATATCGATACCATCCATTTTCTAATTCTATCATTTTCTTTAAACTTTGGAGCGCTATTCGACAGCTGATCTCATCAGCCAGCTTATTCTCCGTTCCTTTATTCATGCTCTTCGGATTTATCGCGTCTAAAACCTGTTCTACGTCTGTATTTTTCAGATCAATATCGGGGCAGAAAAGAATCGCTGTACCCTCATTCGTTTCTATACTAATACTGTGCTTTAAGGGCTTCATCACGCTTGTATTGGAAGGAGGAATATTTTCCTTATAAATTATTGCAGATTTTTGGTTTTTATTCGATACCGATATATCTTTTTTGCTTCTATTACCAAAGAGAGCTTCGATATTGGTAATTTTTCTGACTATTAAAGGAACCTCTTGTATATGTGTACCTTCTTGCACAAAGATGTTCGTTTGAGTCAATTGTGTTCCATCATGATTGTGTGCGAACCATCTTTTTTTAAATTTGGAAATCAGGCTACACGGTTGCACAAATGCGTTTGTAGGAAATTTTCTCCAGTATATATGATTTAAGACTATCATCTATAATAATAATCATAAATATAATAAAAATGTTATATGCAAGTTTTCCTTTTTTACCTTTTTTCCTTTTTTTTATTTTCGAAATATATTATAAGCACCGCATTATTCAATAATTTTTTTCAAGATCTTCATACTTGTATACGGAAAATTAAAAACATTATAAATGCGAGAAGAGTAATTTTAATTATTGTGGCATGTACAAAGTAAAAAAATACATAAAATGTATAAAATATTCGATATCGTAACCCAATAAAAAGTTGTCAGAGATGTACCGATGCAGTATATAATTGTATGACACGACCAGCCGATGGCGACACTGACTCTTTCAAGCAGTTGACACGCGATAATCAATAAAAAATTAAATTTAAATGACAAACATATTTCTTATTTTTTTAATAATAATGAAATATAAAAACGCGCATTTTCAATCGTCTTAATTACATTATAATTTATTTTAAATCTATTTGTCTATAAGACTCATTTGTCATTTCATTCTCCTCTCTCGCACATATACATAATACATAAATGTAAAATTCATTATCAACGCAAAATATATGTATACATAAATGTAGTACATACACATACTCACCATTCACATATTTCCGGATACAGGATACTATTATTTACTTTGAATCTGCAATAAAAAACTTGAAATTAAATTGTCTTCGACAATCATATATTCGTATTCACATTAATGTAGTTTTATTTATGTCATATTACTCACTCGCCGATACCGTCGAAAACCGCTTCGCGTGCCAATAAACCGCTATCGCTGTTTCTGCCGCTCTGCAAAGATAATTCAATCGTTCGCATCACAATTGTAGTATTATAATGGGGCAGATACATTTAGCCGATCAAAGTAAGAGTATGCTTTTTATATAATCCCTTAGGTCAGAATAATAGAAAAAGCATTCTTTATTCGGTCGGAAGCGAAACAAACGTTTCCGTGCAATCGATTTCTACATCACGCAGGATACACACGTGATAATGTTATGTATTTCAGTAGATGATAATGTCAGTGTAAATCCTGAATGCGTTATGCATTAATTAACTGATTAATTAGCACGTTAAATTGGCGAATCGCAAGAGCACGTATATATAATTAATATCTAAATTTCAAATTATTTCCGTTTATAATAATGACTCAAAAAGTGTTTTCCTGTTATAATAATTTCTCCTTTATATAATAATCATATTTTTACGTGATTATATACTTGATTTTTGATGTATATAGTGTGTATGTATATAGTGTATATGTGTATACTTAATATACAATGATTCCTTGTGTAAACAATTATAAAGTTTATTTTCACATGGTTGAATTACGTGGCTGCGCATAACGTTAAATTAGTGGACAGTTTTTGCGTATACCCGCGTTATTATGGAATATATTAGTCATTTTTCGCTGAGTAATAGATAAAAATGTTTGTATGCCAAGTAGCGAGTAATGAATGCGCTACATCAGCATTTGTTGTATCGGATATTGCAAAAGATCGTGCAATATGTCGCATAAAAATACGCGGTAGCAATACGTGTTTTAAATGTAATCGTAATTATATTCGTGGGACTGCTATATAGCTTGTCTATAAAAGACAAGTGTCTATCAATATTGACAACGCGTACGTCCAAACTGGTATAAGACTAATATAGCAAACTATTCTTTACCAACAATAGACTAAACACATTATAAGTTACAATTCTTGATATCGCCTGATGATTCATAATTGTAAGAATGAAAATATCTTTCAACTACGCGCGTTTTCCACAAGAAACTTAGTTATCTTTAATTCTCGAAATAGTTTCGATTATAAAATGTTCTCAAAATCGATATTAATACCGATATTATTATATTCTCCGAGAAAGAGAGAGTGTGTGATATTTATTACGTAATTCATCTTTGAAAGGTCAGATTCGAGAAAACCTTTATCATCTTTCTTTATATAATTAGATAGTTTATTCTGTGTCTCTATAGGTAGATATTTTGATGTCGTATGTATCTATATATATGTGACAACACGGTTGCATGAAAGCATGAAAGGTTACATTATGACTCGCCCGTCGTCGATTATACCCGTGCCTATTTCTGCCAAGCTTGAACCTCGGCATTAATCTTGCGCCTGACCGGGATCATGATGTAACGTCCTGTGTGACCCTATAGTTCCCAAACTTGTCTCATTTGGCATGCAGAAATACACACGATATACCCCGCCTATCGGTAATCATAAATTTCTAACCGATATCGACCGATATACATACACTCCGACAAGGCTGTAAGAGATAAACGGGGAAAAAGGAAACATATATATCAGCATATCAACGAATAAATTTTTCATGCATATCCAAGAGAAATTACACGTGCGCCAAAAATATTGACTTTAATTTCAACGACAAACACGATGAATAAGATATGAAGCTCATTTTTCTATCAATAAATCTGAGAATTTAAAAATTGAAGATTTAAAACGAGAAAGCATTCTATCATTGCTTCTGATGCAACAACAACAACAACAACAACAACACACACACACACACACACACACACACACACACACACACATAATATATGCGATGTAATGTATTTCCACTGGCATGAATCATTTTGTTTCCATTGGCGTTTATCAGCCATTAAATTAGCTTTGTCATGCATGAATATCACATTGTCGAACTGTAATCGGCTTGGAGAGTATTGTTTGCAAACAATCCTATGCGGTATAATTAATGATTAAAGCGCAAGAGGTAATTTCTCATATTAATTTCGTATTAATGATATAATTTAATATTTTCCAAATTAGTAATTAATTGCAGTTCTCATCTCATCATATGCAAAATGAATTGGCTTTATATTATTTTTTATTAACGGCACAAGGCACGGTAATTTAGAATGAAAACATAATTCGCAAGATATCTGAGTCGTGCCGTAACTAGCAACATTTGATTTCATATATCTTACATTGTATAAGCGTTACGCTAATCTTTAAAAATAAACCAGACTAAAGATTGAACGTAGTCGTCGTTTCTTTGCAACAAATAAAAAAAAATCTCGATTACATACGTACGCGAAAGTTGCGTAAGTATTGCACTTAAAAACAGACTGGATCGGTTTCCAGTTTTTGAATTACATCGATAAATCGATTTCTAAATTGGCATTAGAATAATTTACAGAAATTATGCGACATGTATTTTCTCGTTAAACACTCGTAAAATCTCAGTGACAAGAAAAATATGAAAAAAATTCTATAAACTTGCAATTATTCATAAATTTTATAGGTTTGATTAAATATCTTTTCTAATAAAAAGATAATGCAACATACATATACACATCTTAAAGCTTGCAAAAATAAATTTTGTAATACTAATCTCGATCTTGCTTATTGATTGAACGCTTCTTTACGCATTTCAATCTACATAGTAGCAAAAACAATTGTTTACGGCAAATGCCGAGCATTGTTCCATCTCTTATTCATGCCGAACGTCTCTGTGCCTTTCAACAAAATAATTTTCTTCGAAGCTATTAAATATTGATTTTTCCGCTGTATTTCGTTGCGATTCGATTTATTGAACGGCACTGAAAATAGAGGGAAAATTCAAGGCTGTAGCCCCTGCGTGTGGCACTACTAGAGCTCGATATCTATACTAACATACAAGTGATAATACGCAATCTGAAAATGCAAACGCGCAAAATAAAATTCCTTGATAGTAAATATTTTCCTTTTATCGTCATCGTCATCATTATTTGCCTATCTGACGTAATAAATAACTTCCACCGTTAGTATGCAAAAAATTTAGCATCATAAAAGCGCATCATAAACATACAAAATTGTCGAACACACGGATCGACTTTTGACACGAAAAACAATTTAAATTCTTGCATTAATGACATTTGTAAGTTTATTATGTTTTTGATCGATCCGACATCGCTAGATACAAACACCGACTGTTTTATGTCAATTTGCCTGACGAGACAATGACGTGTACTATACACAACATGCAACTCAACGAATAATACAAGTCGGCTAATAATCGCGTATACAGTACAATTCCTAGAAAACATCTTCGTTCTGGCGTGCACACACGAACCTTCGTGAATTTCCGGGTTTCACGTAAATCATGCGGGCGTCTCTATGCAATCGCGCAATGTGTGCGAGTCGAAAATTTTAAATTACTTCAAATTGCTCTAAATTGCGCGGTCTCGCGCGACCAGTATATTAGCAAAATTAGTTCCGCAAATTTGAATATGTCGACGATGCTAATGTCGCTTACGTGTCAAAGGTACATGAACAAGGAAAAGTGCAAGGATTGCTTTAACGATATAACATATTTGATACATAAGTCACATGAACGTATTTGATATATAGGTCACATAGACTTTATAGTATTCGAGATAATCAATGTTCCTTGTTGATAACGATAACTCATGTAATTATTGATAAACTTATATCGCAATGTTATCGCGACAGAAAGAGAGAGAGAGAGAGAGAAAGAGAGAGAGAGAGAGAGAAGGCTTATATATAAACAATTTTTAAAATTTTTTTCTAAAATTATTTTAAAAATATTTTTAAAAAAATGTTAATATATACATATATTTAAAAAATGCAAGAATGTAAAGAAATATTTTATACTTATTGTTAGATAAAGTCAAGAACTACTTGACTCCAACTGATTTGAATGCAATTATTTAAAGTTCCATTGTCCGAATGTTGTAGTATCTAAACGCCCTATTATTCACAAACGTTCTAATATCTATATAAAATATCTCTACATGTAAAATATTTTCTCTATTTCTATTAAAAAACACGTACACGCGATTATTTTCTAATGATATAGATATGAAAGAAAAAGAATATAAAAAAAACATTAATGAGATGTAGTAATGTGCGTTTACAAAAAATTTTGTTTGATAACAAAACATGATATAACGCATAGTCATCTCGGAAAATTACTTTAAATATTTATAGAGTATGACTGATTTCTTATTAACATATTGTCCCTACATTTTGTGACCCAAGTACTTGTATTTACTTACTAAAAGCGGAGTACCTTTTATATCACCGGTTCTAATCGATACGGGAAGTCGACTATATTTTTCAAACTTTGTGTGCGAAATTTATTTGCGGTGGCGCGTTATCAGATAAGCATTTCCACGTCACATAGTAGTACGGGTCGAATCGTTCGTAAATAGTGCCGGTTACCCAGTTACATTGTCATTGATGCATTGCCGCTAGGGACTACAAATTGTTGTTCGTTAGATAATGACAGGTTGAAAAATTCATCGGCTATTTTCCAACGCGAGTTATGAACGCGACATATGTGCTAGAACAAAGCAGCTATGTAAATCGCCGCGAATCGGTCGTTTTTGCTACCAGGTTGCACGAAGTCGCAGATGGAGCAAATATTCTATCGTATTTTTTCATACTTTTATCGCGTAGCGCGTGTTATCAAGCTTCAGGTGAAATTATTCTACGCAGTATCGTACTTTTTTTTTTTCATAAAATAACGTAGCTTTACTTCCGCTTATTTTCTGAAAATAAAAATTAACAAAACTGGGCTTGACACACAGACCGAGATAATGTCAAAACAGGGAAAATATAAAAGCGAAGTGCAGAAAATAGAAAACAAATATGATAATTCGAGCAAACAATTCGTTTACTTTTTCACTTCTTTCTACTTTCGACTTTCTCGAGAAATAATAAAATATACCGAATAAAAGCGGCATATCTTTACATGCATCGTTTATTTGGTAAACGAAAGTGAGCCGGTCTGAGGAATGCATTCTGGGATTCTGCTAAATCTACTGTAATTCTAATCCGCGTAGCAACAGGGCAATATTTAAATGCGCGTGCAAATATGTACGGTATTTCCACGAGATATTACACGCGAAATTTTTGCAACACTCATTTAGCGGGCTCTGTAAACACCAGCAGAATTGGTAAGTCATCCAGTAAAGGCTATGTCAGACGGTGCTCTCACTCGACAAACATTCACCGAGTCGTGACAAATGTCGTATCGTGCAAATGAAGCAGGCTCGCGAAGCTCCAATCGCAGATGACAATACGACAAAAGTTCGCAGGTACGCACGTACGGAATGCATTTACATTCGTCGAATGTTTGACGAAGGAGAGCGTTTCTGAAGCTGTCTCGATGCAAGCGACTCACAACCAGTCGACCGATGTAACTTTCTCGACACATTGTAGAGGCAGACAGTCGCGAAGGAGGCGAAGGTAAACGTCACGAGGCACGCCACGGCGGATCGCTTATTGCGAGACACACACACACACACACACACATACACACATATATTATACATGTGACAGAAGGTGCTCAACCTGAGGATATTTGATAGTTTCATTTATTTCCATTTTGTAGCTTATCGACACCCATATATTGCTAATAGTAAGAAATGGATCTTTTTATTATAATACATAGAAAAAAAATTGTTATTACAAAATCCGATGGTCATTCTAGGTTCCAAAATATTCTCAAGTTGAGCATATCCCCATGCCTGAAGAGAAGGCAGGCGTTCATCAAGAGAAGTGGTGAGTATTTATCTGTTCCCAAGCGCGACTTACCAGCGTGAGCAAAAGGCGCGCTCGCTTTTCCTTGAGCACGCGCGCAATCTCATCGGTGTAGTAAGTCTCATCCACGCAATATCGTTCCTTGAATTCGTCCAGGGTGTATAATTTGCCTTCCCAAATCGCATATTCGGGCGGTAACCTCGGCACAAAGAGGATCGAGACGCCGTTGTCGAGGTCGAGAGCGCCGTAATATCCTGGCTCCTCGGCTCCGAAGCACCATTGGAAAAACGATTCCTGATAAAGAGGACAAATAATGTGATATAAGACAAGTTACCGGAAAGCTCAACAATGCTGAATAATGAAGGAGTTTTCGAAACAAATGTCGCATAAGAAAATGACGGCAGAAAATATATAATCTAGTACCTTTCTAAGTAATTATCTAGAAGTGGTACACGCAATACTTTCGACTATTACATGGAAACTTTTGCGCTAGATAGAAGTTGCGAAAGATGTAAATAAAGATAAAAAAAATAAAGAAGGTATAATAAAATATTCCTTATTACGAGATAGTTGTTGACGCGCGCATAATTGAAATGGAAAACAATGTTCGATGAAATAAAGCTGTTTACATCGATGTTTACGATGTCACTAAACAACGCTTCCGTTTTTAGAGCCAAAGTCCATTCTCGAAAACGAATTTATTTACTCTCTCGAAACAAATAGGTCATCACGCGATATTACGTGAAAAATCGATACCTTTATAATGTTCGCCGACCGTATTTGAGAAGATATAATGATATTATTCCGGGGCCACGTCATCGAATCCACGCCAGGTCATCTCCCGGTCGTTGTAGGATTTTTCTCGACGACTAATAGACGACGTTTCACAATTGTACGCGAGGCAAAGTACTGATGTCCATTTCCCGCACGAACAAAGGATACAAATCGGACTCTCTCTCAATAGCCAATTCCTTTTTTTTCTGTTATTTTTTAACGCGTCAAAAATATTACAATAGATTCCCCGTGGCAATCTCACGCCCGGCTGCGGACCTCAAGTTCCTTCGACTTCGAAAAACTTTGTACAGGAAATAAGATCACGCGAGTGTGTCCGTACGCGACCATCTCGACGCTTCCCCTTTACCTGAGAAAGGCGAAGCGGAAATGCCATTTCCACTGTTCGGCCCTTTTTACCAGGTCAAACCGTCGAGATCGAATCATATAGATGCACATACATTTCGTGGTTGTAAATCATTGATGTTCCAGGTTAAAATTTTCTAGATTTTCAATAGGAATTTTTTAGATTTGAAATAGAAGCAGAATTTTATGTGATGAAAAACAAGAAAAATCAGACTTTGTCTGAGAAATAATAATTATTTGTAAAAAATCATTGGGGTGTAACATTCAATCTCATTTATGTCAAATTTTATTGTAATGAACTTTTTCTCCATTTTAAATATACAGAATTCATTGGCTGAGTTATATATTGATTTTAATTAATTGATGAATAAAAACAGATCAAAATAATTTAAAAAAATATATCTCAATTATTACTTTTTACCTAGAAAAATATATGTTTAATCATGCTCTGAGAAAGATTTTATTTATATTATTGGACGTAAGAAAGAATAATCCAGGGTTAAAAGGAGTATGGTCGCATGTGATGGGAGAACAAAGAAAAAAAACAAATGTGGCAGGTGCAGTTGCACAAAGATATGTGTGTATGTGTATGTATGTGTGTATTTTGTGTGTGTGTATATCTTTTATATACGATGCCACAATATCGTTTTAATAACATTGGCGGAGGCAGCTGCTGCTGTCGTCGTCATAAGTTCCAAAAAATCCGGCAGATCGGAATTCCAAGGGTGAAGCTATGAGAAATGAGTCGAGCGAGTCGTAATGCGTTGTGTTTGGGTTCAAGAGCTGAGCCTTCCTTCACTCCTTCTTCCCTTTCTCTCTCTCTTTCTCTCGCTCTCTCTCGCTTCTCTTGGTCATTCTCTCATTTCCGTCCGATGCTGGACAAGACAGAGATAGAATATGAGGAGAACGAGAGAGAGGAGGGAGAACGTCTTGAGAACGATCGGCCATCAGGTCAACGCGCTCTTGGCGCAACCAGCAGGTATTATCTTAAGGTGTCTGTATGTATATGCATATAGATATGTATATGTGTATGTGTGTGTGTATGTGTGTCTTGTAAACGTGTGCAAATTAGCAGGGATATCTATATTATTTTCTGTAGAGCTATTTTGTATTAACGCGAATAACTTTCATAAACTTTATTTACAGATCTGTATTTCGTGTACGGAATATTTCTAAAGATTATATAATAATTTACTTAAAAAAAATTATCGGTGCTTTTTTTATTATTAATTGGGTTCTTCCTCTCCGCTCAAAATTCGGACAAAGCCGGGAACGTGAACACGGCATTAAGATGCACAACTGCATTAAGAAAGAATTCGGCGAGGCGAAAGGGGTCTCGTATTGATCGCAGAATCCCGCAACAATGTATAGGTACCACGATATCGAATTCAACGCGAGTACATCGTTTTAACTGGCGAGAGCGCGCTGCGCAACAAAGAAACGAGTGATCCGCTATTCGCCAAATTAGAAACTGGAACACCACCTTGATTGCACGCATACAGGATGTCCCAGAAGCACCGGATGTTCCCCCAACCGCGGATTCTACAACAAATTTCCTGCCTATTCATTTCTGTGGAAATTTTTGCGAAACCCTTGTCATGATCTAATATACACGTATTTTCGAATCATCGACGTTAAATATGTATTTTCAAAAAATTTAAGCGTAGATTAAATTTTCCCCTGTCAAGATTATAGAAAATAATACCGGAAAACGCGTGTACGAGGATACAAAATATTTTCTTCTATTCAACTCGAAACAGGGCTCCCACGAGTTCGGTCTAAACGTCTAGAAAGATCAACAATGACGCAAGCATAGTACAAATTTGAACTGGTCTGGCACACCTCGAGATAATATTCACGCGAAAGCCTATAGCACGTATAAAAATGCAATAAAAGAACAGAAAACTAATTCACCAATCCAACATTTTTCTCGGAAAAGAATTCGTTTTGTTTTAATTTCTACTGGCTCCATTTTCTCATCATAACTTTAACTTCCGAAAATATTATGTGATTAAGTCGAATTCTATCGAGCTTATATATTTTTTACTTGTTCATCTTACGAATTCATGAAACAGAATAATTTCGTCACGTGCATGAATTCATGATAACATTGAATGCAATCTGGACTGAGAATCGAGACGCGATTGCAGATCCAACCAAATAATGTGATTTTAACAGTTGCGTGTTTAATGAGCTTGTAAATTAAAAAATAAATTAAGGAACAAAAAATATGGACAATTATTTTTAGATTGTCGGGAGTAATAGGCAATCACAATGAGCAAATTTTGAGCAAGGCAAGCAGTTTGTACCACTTGTATTCGCGCAAAGATAGCTCACTAAGCATCGCATATAATCGGCTCGAGTTCCATTTCACATGAAGAAAGAGAAAGAAAGAAACGGAAAGAGAGAGAAATATAAAAAGAACGAGAGAGAATGTGCATACATATGTTAAGAATTTTATCGTGAATTTAATAAACTTATATTCTCTGGTAAAATTAATAAAATTTGTATTAAAAATATTTTAAGAAATAAATGAAAAAATATATTTATAACATGTATAAATACAAATGCAGTTTTACTAAAATAAATAGAAAAACTCTTATTTATTTCACAATCTATTTCTCGAAATATTCTTGGAGTACTTCTTGGAGTCCTTCAAAAATTGCGGTCAAATCCCAAACAATGCAAGCGTCTGGAACACAAACGAACGAAACGGTCGTGCGTTTTTCTAGAGTGTGCTGTCCGAACGGTACCTTCTCGGTTCTAGTAAAGCGAGTTTTAAAGGCAATCTGCCAGATCACCCGTCTGCGCGCCAGGAGCGTGTCTCGACCGGATCGTCACTCGTGCCATCGATTTTCGGAGTCTCGCGCTTTGACAAGAACGTGTTTTCGTCGATGTAAATATAGCGAATCTCCATTTACCAGAATAGTTTAGTGGAGTGTAATAGTCTAGAGTTCGTGTAACGGAAGTTTATAAACTTCCAAATGGAAATTTTTATTCTATTTACCATCAATATGAAATAAATACACAGATTACTATTGTAAAAATTTCAAAAAATAAAAATAAGGGAGCAAAAAAATATTATTGCATTATATATGTGTATACGATACAAAATGGTAAATTAAACGATGCTAATAAAATATTGTATTGAAAAACTTCGAAATGATATATACTTTAAAGCATGCACAATCTTATTTTGCGAAAATTTTGCAATGCTTATCGCATGATAAGGCCGATAATAATATTTGGCCTCCACACATCTCTGACTGGATAAAATTATCTGATATCAGTCAGACTGTGTGGAATAATTTCTGAAAAAAAATTCCATAATGAATGTAATAAATTTTTACTAAAATTTTTACTAAGTATAGTAAAAATAATTAGTAAAACAAATTAGTTTAATGCAATTTAATCGGGAAGCATTTTTTAAATGTACTATTGCATATATCAAGGTTTTCTATTACGTATTTGCATTTCACAACATGTGATAAGCTTTCTGTAAATAATAAAAAGTATGAGAGACTTTTCTGTAATGATCAACATAATTGTTTAATGTATCATCATATACAGTTAATATGTTATCAGCTCAAACTTCCTGCAACCTTGTACAGTCATTGTGCTATTTTTATATCGATTACTACCGATAATTTACATTTCGTATATAAACATATATAACATACGATAAATCGTCCGAGTTCGGCGAATTGAATCCACATTTATATTCACCCGCGATTTTAATCTCTCTCGTTGAAATAAATCTAATGAATTTTCTCACATTGATAGCTATGGTTATTGAACACTTTGCGGCGAACTCAATTGTCTTTACGGTCGTTACCTCGATAGGGACGTGCGACAGAAATAGTCGTAAAAGTCAGACCACGTAATTGCGGTTGAATCTTTGGAATCCTCGTCTTCCATCGGTCACACGATCGGTTATTTTGTTTCTTACGCGATACACCTAAGAGATTACGAAAAGGAAAACACTTTCTCGTTCCTTCGATCGCCATTCACACAAATATTATTATGTTCGATGATATCACGATCCAGGAAATTCCACAATATGATAAAATACTCTATTGTAAGCGATATTTAGTTTAAAATTTTAAGCATAAAGCTCTATTGTAAGCATAAAGCTCTATCGAGATTTATCTTTTGAGTCCACATTCAAAAATTTTTACCATTCATTTTTTTTTAATAAAACCTTTTTATCTTGCGCGTCTAAAATACTTTGTGCATGCTATTTTTTAAATTACCCGACTTGTATAGTTTATATAGTATATTTTCATCGACCTGGCAAATGTTAAAGGGCATAACAGCAAGCAAATACATACCTGTCGGAAGGGCCAGTTTATGTCGGTATCGTTGAAAGGAACGTCCACGCCACCCTGGAGAAGGACGAAAGTGCCTGCGGCAGAAGCTTCGCTCTTTGCACGAAGACGTGAGATGAGTCGATCGCGATTATTGCGAAAAAGTGACATGGGTACTTTTAACGTCTCCTTATGTCGCCAGAAGTGAGATCCTGTAGCGCATCTGAAATTATATTTCAGATATATCAATAATATGTCGACAACAATGTATTATTGTAGAAAATAAAAAATGATTGCGTATATGTAAGCAATTATGTTAATGCTAATAATATTATTCCAATTTGGTATTCAAACTTTTATATCTTTTATCATTAACTTTGCGTTATTATTAGAAACCGTTAAATGCTAATACGAAGACGTTAAATGGCATCTAATGTTACGATACGCCGCTCGCAAATAATTATTTTGCTTCCGATAATATCGCTAAAACTTTCTAAAAAGAAAGTAGATCCGTCATGTTTATCGCTTCGTTGTCAGCTTACTCATCGATGCCTCCACTTTTGCAACGCCTTTAACACGTGCATTTAGATGATTCATAAGAGTTGCATCACACAAAAGTGATGAATCGTGTACGTAAAAACTCTTATAAAAAAAAGTAAAAAAAAAAATTATACACACGACTTATAAATAACTATTTTACATATAATTAAGTAGTCTTGATTTCGTGCGTATCTGCAGAGATTTTTCTTCGATAGATTAATTGTAGAATTGATTTGAATAAATCGTAAATAAAGATGACGCAAAAGAGATGAAAAGGTGTGCAGAATATGACTAGCAAGCATACTAATTTTATTAATTAATTAGCATACTCGTGCAATTTAAAGTCACTATAAACGATGTGCAGAATATAATCTCGATTAAATCTGAAATATCCATGACGTTATCGAAACTTTATAAAGTAATTTATTATTATTCACGCTTTTCTAATTTTGTAAATTTTAATAAGACAGATAATGATAAGATCGCATATCTCGCTCACTATTTGACGGTTAAATAAATTACACAGTGCGAGAATAAATAAACTGCATAATAGGATGGTTGGTTTCGCGCGACCTCGCGCACATGTATATGTATTTGGTTTATATTTAAGCCGTGTCATTGGACGGCTCGCGTTTCTTGACTGACACAATTCTTGTTCTGCCATATCTTCGGGACGAAACGTATGACAGCATACGGGAAACTTGGATGCACTAACGAGACGCACGCACGTAATGCGTATGTATATATATATATATATATATATATATATATATATATATATATACTCGCTGTATCTAATTGTAAAATTCCGCATCCCCGTGTTGTTGTATTTAAGCTTTCTTAATCTCTACGCGTGTACTAATTTAGACGCTCGGAATCGCACGCGTGCGTCACTTTTAACTTATCTATTCGAAAATTATATTTAACTTGGCAGTTCATACTGCTAGAGAGAGGAGAGAAGAATTCATATGCAACAATGTGGAATATAAAGTCATCTATTTATATACGTATTATATATGCGGTACTTAAAATTCAATGTTTTAATATATGGATTTTCTAATTGAATCACATAAATTAAATTTTTTAGAAAAACATATATATATATATATATATATATATATATATAAATTGCTAAAAATATAAATATATAAGAATATATAAATATATTTAAAAAAATATATAAATATATAAATTGCTTATTTTTATTTTTGTTACGTATTTAAGTTAGGTCGGATATGTAGAGCAAGATAGAGAGGAGCCGCTATTCGACATCGAATAAAACGGTATGTTCTCCATGAAAGAAGTGAAAGCATCGTACGGGTCAGATGCATCGAGTATCTTCTGTTAACTTTTCGCATAAACACTTCCGTCAGCTTTCGAGTTTTGTGCACGAAATACATCGCCGTAAGTATCCAATATGAAAGTTCCGCGCAAAAATATCCTCGAAATACAAGGCAAATTTTTCTGATATGACGAATCAATAAATCGCTCGTCGTACGTTATTGATACGTACGAATTTCGTCTCTGGCGGCGTTATGCAAATAAAATTTGATATCAAGCAGACACATTTCACATGAGCATTTTAATGCAAAGCAAATGGAATAAAGTGACATCTTCACACGCTGATAGCGTTACAAAATGTCACGTTACAAAATGTCACGTTACGTTTCTAACTAAAATATTAATGTGATTATCTAATCTCGTGGACAAGTTGTTTTCTTTCGACAATGTTACGCGTTGCAATAACTTTATATATAGCTTTTAGTTTTATTAGAATCGTTCTTATCATATATAATAACACTGTTACGATAAATAATAATACTGTTTATCGACGAGAAAGAAAAAAGACAAATCGATACGCTGTTACGTAAAACCGTTGACATTGAAACATACAGATGAGCAATTTGGAGTGGCTCAAAATTTAAAGGTCTGTAAACAGCGCCGATAATAATTTGCCGTTTTGTTTACTGTGATACGACTTACGTGACATGGCGACAGCTGCGAAAAAATCGATAGTACCATGAACCTCGTTCTACTTCATATTATCGAGAATCAGATTGTACGAAAAGAATGTAAGTCGAAAACGATGTAGCTTTTCACGCCAAATATTTTTAAGTAACAGCAATTATCAATAATTTATTTAGTAAAAATGTAAAAATAATAAAAAAAATAAAAAGATTGTAAATAATAAAATAAAATTATTAACATCTTTTTAATCATTCAATGACATATGAAAAATTGTTACATCATTTTTAGATGCAATCTTGTGCTATTAAATTTGCGTTTCAATTTGCGGTTAATCTACAAATAATTCGCAGGAAAGTTAAACGCTAACCTCTCGAAAATTGCTGTGTAAACCGAAATATAAAAACTGTCTGTATTTTTAAAAGATATGATCGTTTCACGCGAAACGACCGTGTTCACGTTTAGCATAATTACGAAGAATGTAAACAACACGTTTTTAAATTCCACACGCAAATCTAGCAACCTAGAAACCTTTTTAAAGCAATTGTTTTCTATAAAAAAAATTCATTCTTCGCGGCCGCGTGACATTAACAATATGTCATGTCTGTCAATAAGTGCAATTACATACATACATGTAAAATCCTTGTATGTCAAATTATTATTTTTTACTTAGGATAAAAGATGTATAGATCGAAAATAATTGAAAACTATTATCTCTCTTTCTCTTTTCTGTCTCTTTTATTATTATAATACTTCTGTTATAAATATTTCTAATATAATTATCACTAAGGATGAATTAATCAACATGAAAAGAAACCTTCAATTATTTCGACCTACTACATGCAACGTTACGATTAGAATCGCGAGGCATTTATTACAGTTTCGATCGAACCCATTATTACATCCCGTACAAGTGCTGTTATCAGACAGTCCAAAGGTCAATGCGATTCTAACGGAGCGAGCTTCGCGGAGCGCTATAACCTCAAAATCTGGTCGAGGGGAAAGCGAGCACGATCAAGCGCGATTCTAGCCGTGGGCAAACTCGAGCAATTTCGCAATTCAATCGCGCGAATACCATCGACGCTCTATTGCATTGTTTAGTGGCAACATTATCGCAAATTCGTATCGTTCGTTCGCAAAATCATCGATTGACTTCTCTTCTTCGCCAGTATAAAAACAATTGAAATTAATGTTTTGGATAATTTCAAAATTAATTTTTCATATCATATATAAAAATAGATCGCCCTCCGAACACTCGGAAATCATTTTCGCGCACGACTCTGACGTGAAAAAAGAAGCCTGTATGTCGCATGTATTTTCGAGCTGAAAGGAAAAAAGTCGCGTGTAAGCCTGCTACTGCAAAGGACAACGACACGATGAAAACAACACGGTTATATAAATCATATAATATACATACGAGTCCGTGTGATTAGTCTCCGCCATGTTGTTTGTAGATGATAGCCGTGGTATATGCGTTGCCTCCCGTCAAATCGTCTTGTCGTAAATGAAGCCGTTGGCGATGATCGGGATCGATGAACAAGAAAACGACGGTTATTGTCCGCGAGGTTATCGGAAATTATGTTTCTTTACACGTACGCACATCGCGTATCACCTCCGTTATCGAGAGCAACGATGACGCGTGATCATCTGATAGCTCGGTCCGTCGGTCACGTGATCGCTGTCAGCTGACTGCGCCGCTCGGCGACCGACAGCAGCCGATGACAGCCGAGCGCAAGCACGTGATCATCTGACAGTTCAGCGGGTGGTCGCCGACGCGCGGCGGCCGACAACAGTCGATGATGGCCGACGGTGGCCGAGTCCGAATGATGACGCGATCTGACGCAATAATGCCGCCGTAGCATTCTTGTATGTTTATCAATTTTTAAAGATACTATGTGTTTTCGTATTTTTTTAAATAACACTTAATGTATTGATATCGTAAAAGATATAAGTGTTATTTAGAAGCATGGATTTATTTTTATTGTATATGTATATATTATATAATACAAATATTATTTTCGTTCATAAAATAGATAAATAGAAGTAAAAATAAAAGAGATAACGAAACTCACAGATTATTTATTTATTACGTCAGAAATGTAAGAAAGATTTTTTTGAAAGATGAATTCGAGAATTAAAAAAGAAATCAAAATTTGAAACTATCTTCATTCTAGTTCCATTAGCCACAAATCTCGGGCAACATGCCGGAAGACTAACTGTGATGAATATGTTAATAAGAATCGAAATCATTATAATATAATGCATACACATTGTTTTTTTTTTAACATGCAACTAGGTCGCATCGCGTTTGCTATCTCGCATCGAAATCTGTGTCAAGACAGACAAGGTCGATATCTGTTATTAGATGTTCGAATTGTTGACTTATGACATGTGTCGCTGATTGTGCCGAAAACAAAAAAGATTTATATCAAACTTGTCGCTTTATAATTGCGTATAAATGGAAAAAAACTTTGGACATTGATAAGAGATTTTTTTTATTGTTCGAGTGGATCTCTTGTTTCGTATCAATGAAAATATTATGTATTATTAGTATAATAATCTTGCGATAAATGTAGATTGTGATTTACGTTATCTCATGCATTTCGAGAATGACGTAACGTCTATTGATCCGACGTTTCTCGGTTGGATAATGATTGAAACTTGATGATTCATTATGAATCCGATTCACATGCGTTTATATTTTTTATTATTATATATATTAATAAATGATCAGATATTTTGCTTTATTTTACCGAAAATATCTCGAAATGTATATGATGAATGGAGTTTTCTTTCGATGATAGATATCGTTAAGCAAAAATCGCTTAATGTGAAACGCGATGCCGTCTCGCGTACAATTATAGCGCAAGGTTTTCTTTCAAACACTATAGTCGATGTAGAATCCTATTCTCAGTTTACAGACGACAGGCTCGAAGAAACTTGCCTGAAGGTCACGCAAACGTTACACGTATTATATAAGGTGCTATTTGTTAATGCGAAACATGATAAAAAGTATCTAGTTATCATCGACAAAATCAATTATAGAAATTGTTGGAACCAACATTGCTTCAGACTGAAAAAAAAAAACAAAAAAGAAAGATTTTATATCCTATATGAAAAAAGGCATGTGACCTTGAATTATTGCCGTTTTTCCGCGATGCCGATTGATTCTTTTATTGCGCTCAATTCTTGTTGTGAGCAGCTGTCATTTGCGATTATTACAAATTTTGACAGCTTGTGTGACAGTGAGAAATATATATACAATAATAAAATATGGGTCTACCAAAAGTGTGGAAACCCCTAAATATCTCGGAAAATATACGTTTTACAGAAAAGTGTTTCCAACAAAAGTTGTAGGGTTTAAGAAGATCTATATACTGATTCTATCAGTTTGACCTTGGATGGCGTCGTCATGGTCAGGTCAAGGTCACATTGACTTTTTTAAATGACACCCCCTACATTTGATTGCATATTCTTATAGCTTAATTCAAGAGCTTTCCAAAACACTATAATAATGTTCATTTTTATTAAGTACTTTGCGAGTTATGAGGGTTGAAATAATTTCTTAATTTTACATAAACCATAAAATATCTAGTAAACCATTCATTTTTCGATTATCTTACCTTCATACTTTTATGTACAAAATAATGAAAGGAATCAATTGGTGTAAAGAAAACATACAGTTGTTTTTAAGAAAAAATATGGAATTGTTAATTGCAAATTACATATTTTTTCTTAGAAACAACTATGTGTTTTCTTTACACCAATTGATTCCTCTCATTAATTTGTACATAAAAGTATGAAGGTAAGATAATCGAAAAATGAATGGTTTACTAGATATTTTATGGTTTATGTAAAATTAAGAAATTATTTCAACCCTCATAACTCGCAAAGTACTTAATAAAAATGAACATTATTATAGTGTTTTGGAAAGCTCTTGAATTAAGCTATAAGAATATGCAATCAAATGTAGGGGGTGTCATTTAAAAAAGTCAATGTGACCTTGACCTGACCTTGACGACGCCATCCAAGGTCAAACTGATAGAATCAGTATATAGATCTTCTTAAACCCTACAACTTTTGTTGGAAACACTTTTCTGTAAAACGTATATTTTCCGAGATATTTAGGGGTTTCCACACTTTTGGTAGACCCTGTATATATAATAAAAGGGAATAAATGGCGCGCGCTTTGCGTTGTCTAGTTAATTAAAATTCGCAAACTTTGCATCGAATCGCTTATTGTTATTTTTATCAGTTGATTGGAAAACCTTGATATAACAATAAAGAAATCAATTCTTTCAGGCAATTTAACTCTTTATCACAGTCCCTCTCCTTGGAGATGTTTTATCTTACAAACCGCTTAAATTATGTACAGTTAATGTGACAATATTCACGTATATTAGATACGTAATAAGTTATCGCGTATTTTCGAAAAATCGAATGAAAATGATATCAGATGAATATTTTCAAAAGAGTGATCTCGATAATCAAAAAATATCACACTTCGCTGAAAATGTACGTGATATATATATTGTATATTTATATAGAAATATACGAAAATATTACAAGAGAAAATTTTAAATACGCTCCGTCTCTCAGAAATTCTCTACATTATTATTAATAGACAAATATTTCTCGCGCGAATATCTCTATTAATGTAAAATTAACATCTATGTCACACGAATCGTGACGGCAGATGGTAGACAAACGTATAAATGGACGTTCTTGAATTAGGTCAAGCTAGTTTTCCACCGTTTATTTTCGCGCTGCGTATAACACATGCGTATCCATTGATTATCTCGGTTACGCGATAAAGCGAACAGCGAACGACTCGGTAAATAGGATTATCCGGGAAAATTTAATTACATAAAAGAAAAGTAAGAAATATATATATGCGTGTACAATCATACACACATATATACACACCTTTTCACATATCGATACGTGTGTGCTACAAATTTGCTTTCTGACGAAACGATCACTTTGTTAGCCAAGATTTCGTAATTCATAATTTCATGTTTGCATCGAATAAACTAATAATTAAATAAATAAAATAAACAGTTGAATTTACTTGTTGATTTGTTCAATTTCTAGAAACACAAAAGTACCGCCAGTATTCGATAAAATCTTCGACAATGACCACGTTGACATGACTCGCGAAAACAACCGACTCCCAACAATCTTTCCTTTCGAATGCTGTCTCACGATGACATTTGACTTTTCTATAAATCGAGCGAGCTTGTTAACCTTTCCAATCCCGGAAGTTTCTAATTATAAATGATAAAATATTTATGATTTACGTTCCAGTAGCAATTATTATACTATTAGAATATATATATCGCGCATAACATTTTGAAATATTATTTTTTTTACAATTCTCAAGTATCTATTATTATTAAGTACTATAAACATAGTATCATATTATTTAATTATAAAAATGAAATAATGAAAAGTGAATAAATATTAAAAAGATAATATAAAATATATAAAAATAGATATGGCAAGTATAATATTATAATATAGTCAGGCGCTGCCAAGTTTTTCAGTTTAAATTGTTTAAATTAAATTGTTTTAAAATGTTTTAAGTCAAGATTCTAAATAATAGTGTCATTATACATATACGCAACACAATTGTGTTGTATCGACAAAACAGCTGCCTCGTATCCGAAGAATGAGCATCAATTTCTAGAAGACACGAGTTAACATTAAATGACTTGCCTGAAATCGACAGCCGACCCTTTTCTTTCTGTCTCTAGTTGCCGCTTTCAAGCCAGAACCGTCGAATAAGTGGCTAGTAAAACTATGTTGGTTTCATTTTACACCCGCAAGGATCTTTAAGAACCATAATTTATAGCTGCTATTATTATTAGTCATTATCGTGCAGTCAACTCTTTTGTGAGAATTGTTAGGAAACATTGTAAACAGCTCTCTTGCTATACGTTGATGAGAAAAATCGAGCTTGCGAGGATTTCGCTGCGTATTAAAGGAAATAATGTTCACAGAACCGGGATAATAAACGCTCTTTGCAGGATATCAAATACCGTCGTGGAAAATCCAAGATATATCGCGGTTTCATGTAACACACGAACGGTTTATCACAGCGTTTCGCGGTTACCATCAACGTGAGATAAATCGACGAACGTAAAGCTAAAAGCAAATTTCTAGAAGCTGGCAGAGAATACCTTCAATGCGCGCCAACGATCAGAAGGCCAGTGAACTGCTGACTATACAGAGTATCCCGTTACTGTACCGCCGTTTCTGACGATGACAGACCTTCAGTTTGACGAAATGCTCGAAGTCAATATGTATTATTTAAATAAATTTCACGAAAGTTTATAAGGTGCTAAGCGCTGCAACATAAAGAAATTTGCAAATTTTTAAAATTAAATCAAGTCATATTACAATTAAAATCTATTTGAAATTAATTCGATTATAAAATGAAATTTCTCATCATTCGTTTACACAGTAAAGTATCTGTGACTCAAAATACGTTAGAATCTCGCGTAAGATAATTTTATAATTAATTTTCAATCTTCCGCCATCAATCAAATCGTTAAAGATCGCGTGCAGAGGAAGAACGATAATGACAAGGCATCCTATATGATGCCACGATGTATTTATGGCACGCTCCGTCGTCGGACACCAAACAGAACCGTTTGACGCCGATGTTTAATGACGAAGAAGGAAGTGCAAGAGGATCGGGTGGAAAGTTTTCGCGCAGTCGACAAGAATCTGCATGGAAACTTTGAACTTGTTTATTTTATACTTAAGACTTGTCGGACTTGCGAGCCCAACGATCACAACGAGATATAGTTTTCATAATGCACGATCCTTAACGACGAACTTAGAAAAGAACGAAGGATTGCGCTCACTCGTAATTATAAAAAAAAAAAGAGACAAAGAAATGACCAATGCACAACTTTTCCCACGCACACACATATATATACATACACGTTCGCACATACACACTCGTACAGGCATACAAGCATCCTTTTGTCGGAACTGGAATCTTGACGCAATTCGTTCACTCCGCTCGCGGTAGGTACGCGCAATATGTACTAATTGCTAAACTTATCTAATTAGCCGAATAAGGTGACAAACGTCGTCGAAAATCAACGCCGAAGTCACGAACGATCGTTTCTTAGTCGCTTCGTATCGCTATGTACAAGTGTGCCGTTTCATTGCGTCACCATGTCGCGACCGCATTTTACCATTGCCGTCTATAATAAAATCCCGGACGCTGCAGTTGTGACGTCACGCAAGCTCACGAATAATCGAAAGCTTCTACGAATTGATTGCGAGGTTTAAGAATAAAATGGACGCCGCGCTTTTTTCTCACCAACGACATTAATAAGTAGCAGTATCACACGTGGAATAGTAATCGTCTTCGATTTATTTATATATATATATATATATATATATATATATATATATATAATTGTGACGTCACACAGCTGCCCCCATGAGGATTTACTACAGATGTAGATCTTATCTTTATTCACACGCGAAACTAATCACGCGACAATGGAACACTATCACGCTGCGTACAATGATCTTACATGTGTGGATACAATGTGTATGTAACATCAACAGTGTCTCTCTTATGTATAGCGATCGATAGCGATAAGTAGCTATGCACTAAAACATGCACAGAAAAAGAGATATACATATATATCTATAAACCTATACGTTATTATTATACATCATGATATTATTATTCGTATATATTGTATTTAATGTGAGAAATTTTCTGCCAATTAAAGATTTATTCTTTCTTGAATGCTCTAAAATTGTTATTAATTATATTTGGATACACATATTTCGAATAATATTTTCAGGAATTGGATCAATTGGTTACTTCCTTCGATATTTAAAGAGTTAATTTAACATGTCATCTGTTGTTCGGATCGTTTAGTTTGGATTGCATCAGAAGTCTGTGTCAACTAATTTCGAATAAGCCAGACGCCATCGTTGTTTTGATTACATTAAGTAAAGAAAGAAAAATGTAATAAATCTACTGATAAATTCAAAGCGTATTAATATAATTGTTCAATATGATATTATTATATTTGTTTTGTAATGAAAGTTTATCTGAGCCTCGCACTGACTGCTGTTCATAGTCTAATTTTAAAAGAACGATCGTAGTTCGATACAAAAAAATCTCTTTACAGTGTTATATTTCGGATATTAAACACGCAAAACGAAAATTGTCAATTAATTCATAATTATTACTATTTGTTACAATTTCCCTCTTCTTGTTAAATCTGCATTAAGCATATTTGGCGTATTCGAATGCGAGAATTCTCTAATCCTCAAGGTGCGGAATGTAATACAGTCTGAGATTCCATCGTCAAGTAGTTTGCTACGAGAGGTAAATACAGCGAATCTTGTGTTCATTTATTGATTTACTTAACAAACGCGTCGAATCATTATCTCACGCAAGAACTCGTATGAATATTCTATAAATAGAGTTGCCGTTAGAGAATGAGAATATCATCTGCGAAGAAACCCGCAAGTTATGTAGGTGATAAAGATGAGTTGGCAGAGCTTCTCTTAAAAAAAAAAAGTATCTGAACGTTATATGAAAAATCTCAACGTTGTCAGTAAGATTCTTTAAATTTTGGAAAATAATATCCCCTTTAAAATACAACATCAATTTTGCACCAAATTCCAATGAAATCACGTAGGTAAAATATTGAAGGCGCAATTAGAATATATAATAGAATATACAAGTATCGAAAATTAAATGTCAAGTATCGAGTTCTGCTTAGACGTCACGATTCAATTTGTGCGAGCGAGAATCGCGGTTAGTATAATCAACGATCACGTCTTCGCATTATGTGGCGAAAATATTAGGGACGTGGTCGTTGAGAAAAATATACACGCTGATCTCATTTATTTTTTCGTGATATGCGATCGGACAAATCGACTGATACGAGACGAGATCGACTTTGATAATTTGGACTCGGTTTAGTTCCTGACACATAGCCGCGTCCTTAAGAATACAAAATATTGTCGTTTGGTGAAAGCAGCAAGAATAACAAAGAGGGTAGAAAGAGGTCGACACAAAAACGCTTACGCCTGCGAAAATATACCGTGAGAATTAAACTGAGATTTATCGTACAAATGGAAAAGTCTCAAAGTCTAGTTGAAAATACAATTTCATTTATTTATGAAATTATATATTCAGAAAAAAATAACATACATAATTAAAGTTCATAAACAAGACTCAGACTTGTTACGATTTTAAAATAAAAAAAAATATTACGAAATTCCATTTGATTATTTAGAGCAATTTTGATTTGCTCGAATATTAACAAAGAGATACAAATGTCAAAGATGTAGATAATATTAGTGTCGCGGGGAAATCGGTGGAAAAGAAAAAAATAGGGGGGAGCCGAGGTAGAAAAGAGATCGTGAGGGAGAAGGAAAGAGAACGTATGTGTCAATGTGGACGGCAAAGTACAGCGTAAAAAGAGACTTTCTATTACAGATATACCGTACCACGATCGTTATTATTTGTTGAAATTAAACTATAAAGCATTCGAGTGCCAGTCGCTAATTTTGATGAAAAAAATTATATCATACTAAACAAATGCAATTGTAATCATTCAATCGTTTGTCAATAAATATTTCTTTTTTCATCTAATGCTAAATAAACAATAGCTTACATTCGAAATTACTTGATATAAATGATCTTGATGCAATTCAAACTAAACAACATTCTGCACAAATTCACAAACGTAAAATAATGTGGAAAATCAAAAGGAGTAATTAAGTGAAAAATCGTTCTAAAAATATTATTCGAAATGTATGTGTATACAAATATATAATTTTGAAGCATTAGAAAAATGCTACAATTTCTCTTTTAAGTTTTCTTAAATTTTAAATTCTTTTCATTACAAGTAAAAAATAACAAATCTTTAACCAACAAAACTTTTCAATATACGAATAATAATATTATAACGCACAATTTTTTAATCTTTCTTCTCTGTATCTACAAAAATTCATTTAGTACTTGAAGCAATAATCAAGAATTCGCAACGAATCAGCTGTTGAAGTCTATACTGTGATAACAATATTGTCGGTATACATATTTTAATAAACATCGAAAACGTATCGCTCAAAAAAATAATACTATAAAAAAACGATATTTTTTAAAAGCAATATACAAAGAAATACATCCCTTGTGTATGGATTATCGCCAGCGATATTTTTCGATAATCTGAAATGTCAACAAACATAATCAACAGAGTTCTGAAAACATTTCGTATACGGATTCTGATTGTGAGTAATAATCGACTATCGAGTTGTCGTTAACAAAATTAATAATTATCGCCAGCGATATTTATCTACTCGAGATACGACATATATCGTTAACACAGTACAGAGCAATGTTATGTTACGGGAAAGGAACATCTCCGCGTACGCTCGCGTCTTGCATGGAGTGAGTGGCGGCGCGGCCATAAGTCTTCCACGTAGGCCCGCGTCGAGCGTCGATACGAGACGACGGCGATCTCGGCCGAGGCATTACGAAGCGAGCTTTAACGCGCAGCGCCGACAACGCAGCGTATTTACAAACACGGCCATGTAAGGCGAGTTCTCGCCTAATTGTATCTACGCGCTCGCGCTTCTCACCAGCTATACGCCTCGCGTTGACTCCCACGTTTTTCTTCCGCCGAGAGACGCGAAGAAAACGCGCGTCTTCGTGTTTCCTCGCCCTCTCTCGAGCCACTTTTCTGAACAGTTTGTCGCCCCAAATCACAAAGGAAAACGGACCATTTCGGGAGAAACGTCTGTAAAGTTTTCAAAAGAGTAGTATTCAAAGGTACCATTCACGATGAGAACAATAATAAAGTAAAGTCGGAGAGAATTTTTTTCGAGCACTCCCGCCGCACACCTCACAGTTCCAGGGGCTCGTACATCGGCGGTAGAGGCTCGTCCTCGGAATCGTAGAAATACGGTTTCCTACGGTAACCGCCGTTGGATCGTCGCTCGTCCTCGTCGTCCACCTCCTCGTCTTCGTCCACCTCCGAGCTCGAGAACTCGTCGAGGTTCGCTTGCAGCCTCTTGACCGCCTCCTTGATGAGGCCGCCCTCGCGCAGCAACTCCTGCAGCACCTCGTACGGGTCGTCGTCCACCCTGTTCCTCTCGGTCCTCTTCAGGTGGCTGTGATAATGATGATGGTGACCGGCGGTTACGTGATTCTGCTGTTGGTGAGATTGGCTGCTGGATCGCAGGCCGCAAACCTCGCAACCCGCCGCCGGGTCTGCCCAGGAACGCGCCGGTATCCGGTACGGCGAGGGTCGGCTGTTCTTATGACTAACGCTGGACTTGGCCTTCAGGCTGGACAGCCGCAGATTTTCCTTGATCTGCGACACCAGCAGGTCGACGTCGCGCGTCAGGAATGCGTCCGCCTGCGCCGCGCCGTCCGGCATCACTCCGATCAGATACGTCGTCTCCTCGGCACTCGGCATCTTCTCACTGTCTATGTTTTTCCGAGAACACGGATGTTTGAGCTGCAAGCTTACCACCGCTTGGTAGTAAATACGCAACGGAAATCTGGACGGGGGTTTCTCCCTGTGTTGTTATTGTTGTTGTTGTTGTTCCCTCTCTTTCTAGTCTTAGACGTTGCGTCGTCCTTTTCTTTCCGCGCTGATAAATCTCTCTCTCTCTCTCTCTCTCTCTTTCTACCGATGTATCGTGGGTCGACGTTCTCTCGTCGACAACACAACAATACGGACGGATCGTGAAGGTAAACAGAGAGGAATAGAAAACACTGCGTGCGACTTGTTCCTGCGGAAAAACAGTTGTCAACAATTGAAAAATAGCGGAAAGACTTTCTTCCGAATGAGGAAAACTGCGAGCCTACTTCTCCTTCTCCCACGATGAAAGGACACTGCCGTTGTCGCTCTCCGATAATTAACGCGAGTCGCTCTCCCTCTCCCGTCGCCGACACGTCAACAATAATATACGACAGTGGCGTATATATATGTCGTATCCGGCGACGCGTTCCAGCCGTGCGTAATCGGACGGGACGCGCGTGATTCACCGAATAAATACGCGGGACGACACTCTCTTTCACTTAACGTGCGCTTGCTTTCGAAACAACGATGACGACGACGACGACGACGAGTCGTGCGTCGAGGCGCGTCTGACTGTTGAATGAATGTCGCGCGGCTAATCTACGCGCATAAACAAACGCACACTAGCGCGCCGCGCAGCAGGTACGTGTACACGTACACGTATATGCACGCACACACTCGAGTGGAGAGACGCTACCACCAGCAGCGCATTGTTTTGCTTCCAGAGACGATCGAATACCCGAATCCTCGACGTTCTCTCTCTCTTTCTCTCTCTCTCTCTCTCTCTCTTTCTTTCTTTCTCTCCTCGACGACGAATCAGTGAGACGAATTGCACAACGCGCACACACGCATCGACCCCGCTCCGATGAGGTAACGCACCAGGGGAGAGAAAGGGGAGAATCCGCGCGGTGAGAGCGAGCCGATGATTCGCCTCGACTCGGAAAGATAGTACCTCTCGCACTCCCACTTTCGAATGAAATATATATATCGCAGAAAGTTCAAGAATGTCTTACTACACCTTGTATCTCTTATTTTTATCGAGGTAGTTATTACAATTCCGTACGCCGATTATTCTCGTTTCTCACGGGGTTGCGAAACTAATCGAAGCAGGCACGCCTCGTATAGTTTCGGCCCGAGTATGAATTGATTACCGGCACTATTCTCACAGATTTCGAGTCTTGATAGTCCTCGCCTCGAGGTAATTTACGATTTATCTCCCGTCAAGGGAAATGTTGACAGGTATCGGACTGTCAACACACACTCGTATAACAGAATGTACACACACGGCGCGTTAATTGTTAAATGTCGCCTCGCGTTTTCTCCTCTGTCTCTTTCTCTCTCTCTTGTTTCGCGTCCGCCGTCGTGACTTATTGTTTCGCGCGACAAGCAGGTTCTCTGGCGCACACGAGCGGAGCCTACGACAGGCTTGAACGAGTTCGAAAGAGCGAAGAACGAGCGGTCGTCCGTTTGCGTCCGCCAGCCATGAACCTTCTACTCTGTTATTATTGTTTTGGTCGGGCGGCGCATGCGCGTTGCCTGTCCCACTCTGCCTACCCGGCGCCCCTCCGTCACGGCGGTCGTGTAAACAAACCGTTAACTCACGAGCCCCGGCGAATCGATAATACTCCTCGCCACGCCGCTTCCCCGTTCCGCGATCTTTCTCTCTCTCTCTCTCTCGCCGATCTATCTTTTTCCCTCCCTCCTCTCCACCGTCTCTCTTCCTCGTGATTTTATTCACGGGGAAAATGACGTGTACCGCATCGCTTCGAGTTCCAGCCTCTGCCTTTTGTATTTATCTCGCGAGGAACGCCGCGAAATATTTTCGAGACGCGTATCGTTTGCTTATGACCTTTTTGTGTACATACGTACATATATATACGGCTCGGGAGCGGGGCACGGTTTGAACGAAATACTATATCGATGGAGAGGGGAGGACGAGGAGAGGAGAGCGGAGGACAATATCGATGAGAGTAAGGGGGAGAGGGAGGGACATCGATGCGCGCGGATCAAGGTTACACTTGGGCACTTCTTCTACGTCATCTCTCGTCGAGTTTACACTCGACATACGCATGCGCGCAGCGTGCACGCATACACGCACGCATCCTTGAAACGAATCATTCATTATCGCATCCACGTAACGCGCTGCATGTGTCATGTTTCTAAAGATGCAAAGACAAGCAGCATTTTTTTCCTTCTAATAGCATTAAAGAATTCGAGGAGGATTAGAAGAGAGCGAGATCAAATTTGGCGCAATGTGCGATATTTTGTAATTTATCGAATATATTGTATTGTATTGTTTTAACTTATGATTTTAAGAAATATAAAAATATACGGAAACACTAGTACAGAAAGAGTATTCATTGAAATCTATACAATTCAATCAATTGATGATGATCAATTCCTTGACTTATAATCGACAATTTTTAAAATTCATTAATTTACAAATTCGGCTTACTTTCCGTAATGTGTCCAAAATGAGATTCGTTTGCTTTTTCTTTCGCTTCCTCATATCTCATTCTTAACGCATCTGGCTCTGCCAAGAATCTCTGCCATAAAATGTCCTTCTCGCGTTCTAAATTGGTATCCATCCTCTATAATATGCCAATCATTAGCAAACAATAATCTAATATTTCAAATCTAATGATTCATTAAACATAATATAATTTTTATTGTACCATTTGTTCTTTGAATTGATTTCTAATCCTTGTTAAATCTCCTTGTATTTCTTGAATGATTGCGGATATTTCTTCGTATGTATTGCTTATTTCATATGAAATTGGCCTAAAGCTGATTGTCGGCCCGTTTTGTATCTCAGCCATATAATCCTTGTTAACTTCATCCTCTCTAATTTGATAAGAATTGTATAAAAATGACATACTATATTATTAGTTGTATTGTAATATTACTAAAGTAAAATTGTACTTACAATTTTTGTAATTCATCAATTTTATTTATATATGTTTCCAACATAAATTTCTTCTTCTCCATATTATCAACCATTAGGTTATCATATCTTTTCAATGCCAAAGAAAATGATTTGTCCGAAGTATCGTTATCGAGCATCATGGAAGTGAATATTTGATTAAATATATTATAAGTATTTGAAGATTGTGCGATGACAGTTGCATATTCGTCTTGTTGTTGTTGCATGACTTCCTACATATTTTATGTATTTCTCATATGAATGATGAAATTATTAAAATACTGAGAGAAACAGTGAAAAGTGAATTACTTACACATCTTGTAGAGGACAGTTTATATTCTGTAGTGATGTAATGATGAGCATCGGCAATAAATTCAGCAACCTCACGTAGAGAACAAAATTGCATCTCCATTAACATACACAGTAAATCCACATAAACATGTCCATGCTTTACTGCGAGAGAGTGTAAATTCCTGAGTTTTTCTAGACGAGATTTTCTGCGTTCGAGACGAGCAAGAGCATCATTCCTCAAGATTTTTAGCGTCTCCATTTCTGCAAATTGTACTACTTCTTCAGAAAATTGTTGATCCCGTAAAAGTTCGACATTCTGCTCCAGGAAATCTCTTTTCATGCTTAATGTCTGTATTTCATCTCTGTTAAATAATAAAACATTATATTTAAATATAGTGTTTCTCCTTTTTCTTTCATGCTCAAATAATAAGATGACTTTGATTGTTTTAGTGCAAAATTGCCAAAATTCTAAGCAACCAAATATTAATAATATTGTTACGTACTGTAATTTACTATCCCCAGGTACCTTTAAAATTCCATCATTACAGATATCTTGCACACACTGTAACATTGCTTTATAAGACTCCTCTTGCACATTAGCACTAATGTCTTTTATTCTAGAATTTGTCAAGCTGTAACAAATAAAATATATAAAATGAATGTGTGTAGATGTTATACTTAATAAAATTTTTTAAGGAATAATACTTACGTGGTTTTACATAAAAATAACTCGTACATTCTTTCATCAACTTGTTTCTCCCTACTATCATTTATTAGAAATATATCCAAATTTTCTTCTTGCTCTTTTTTACTATTGTTTTCAAATTGCTTTTTTATATAAATACTTAGATAATGATTATAAAGTTCTACTTGTTTAATAAACAAATCTATGGGCATTTGCGACCATAATATTGGATTACCTTGCTAGAAAAGAAAATGGAAAATAATAAAATGATTGAATAATGAGAATCAATTATAGAACTTGAAATAATTACATTTTTAACAGCATCTGCATATATATTCAAAAGATTATAAACATCCTCAGAGAATTGAGAATTATTTTTGTCAAATTCTTTCAGAATTACACTACAATCATCATATGCTTTTTCTGTTTCAATCTGTTCTTTAGCCAATATAGTTTCCATTTCTTCAATGTCATCATCCAACTTGTTCTCAATACCCCTACAACAAACATATGCCTTTATATCATTTAATTAACAACAAACATCTCAATACACAATTTTCTATGTTCTTACTTTAGATTTTTTGTGCTATGCTTCAATGTTTGAAGATATTCCTCGCTGTCTTTATAGCTTTCCTTCAATGTTTCATACTCTACAAACAAATCTTCTCTATATGTATCGTCTATACTGACAAGTTGGAGCAAATCTGTATATTCTTTGGTTGCTTCCTCCAACGCAACATCCAATGCTTCATTTTCTAGCCACTCGCCAGCATTTTGCAATGAATTTTTTCTGTAAAGAAAAGAGATAGACTGTTGTGAAATTCTATTCTTCAATCAATCATAACTATGCAAAGGAAATCTTACAATTTTATTTCCTCAATAGAGAGGACATTGGCGTTGCTCACATTCTTACAGAACCACTCCAGAAAAGGCTGCGTGTTAGGATCGTCACAGACCTTGCTCAAAATCTCCGATGTGATCCCCGATGACAGATCCGGTCGTAGCCCACAAATCTTATCATAGAGCTGTTTACCGGTAACGCTCATCTTGTCTTTTTATAAATATCTGTCACAAATTCTTTCTTTTTCTTGTTTGTTTGAAAAATATCATGTTTTACAATGTCTTGATTGGATAACTTACCTATCTCATCTCACAACACATACTTTCGGTTCTCCGCACGAAGAAATTTGAATGGTTTTTCGTATATTTTTTATTCCCTATAAAATCATTGAAAACCAAATGCGACCTCTAGTCGCACACATAGATATTAGACCCTAAGGATAATACAGTAATCGTTCATGTTTAACATTGACTTAACTCATGATATCCAATGCACGACAAATTATACTTGCGTTGATTAGTATTCATCAACACCGAACTGTTAATCGCGAATACAACACTTTCACACATTTTTTTCGCAAAGAACGATATACGAAATACAATATTTCGCGCCTCGCGTTTCACACAATGCGGCAACTTTTTTGTTTAGTATCGCCATCTACATTCGCGTTAAACGCCAGAATTACGTAGTCAAATACTTTTCGATTGCCGGTAAAATCATCATTTTGTGCATGTCGGTAAATTGTTAGAATCACGTCGGTAAATTGTTAGAATCATGTCGCGCAAGCATGATCTTTTTATTTGTAGTATAATAAAATATGTAATTAAAAATTCATGTAAGAAACGTATTTTTAATCAAATTACATATACTTATTCCGTTACTCTAATACTTGTACGTTAACAGATTTAGGTTACACACATTGCATAAAGCTTCGATATTTTGCAATCTCAATTTGGAGAAGCACGTGCATTCCTTTCGATAAATGTCCGCACAAAAATACATCGCATTCATAATTCACTCTTATATTTAAGATCCTCTTAAGTAAGTTGGAAAATACAACTATTTTACTAACTGAACGGAATCTCAAGACGCGATCTAGATTATTTTAAATATAAATATATATATATATATATATATATATATATATATGTATTTATACATAAATATATATGTATATGTATATACATAAATGTTTCGTGTCACGATAAATCTTGTAAAATCATTGATCTTTAATAGTATCTCGTCAGTGAAAAAAAATGCTTTCGAATGTTACACTTTATGTAGCAAATTTTTTATATTGTTCTATTACAATTTTCATAACAGCAAAATATTTAATGCTTGATGCTTTATATGTATATATAATACAATGTGCTAAATTATAAAGTGTAACATAATTAAAAAGTATTACTATTATTAGTCGACTTAATTGCAAGCTATTCCTAATTACTACACATGTTTATTCGATGCATCTTCTTCTTCAAATCTTTGCAATGTTGTGATCTGTCGCATTCCCAAGACTATAGGGACTCGTGCTTCTTTCTTCTTATCGTTTTATCATTCTTTTACTCTCTTCCATCTTATTCAAAATATATAATAATTATTAACTAAGTATTATAATATATTATAATATAATATAATTATTATATTAATAATTAATATGTATAATATATATTAATATATAATATATATTAATAATGTATAATATAAATTAATATATATTAAATAATATATATTATAATATATAAATAATATATATTAATATATATAATTAATTAATAATTATTAATATAATAATTATAATTACGGTATCTCTCTTAGTCTGACTCTTTCTCTTTGACCTATCCGGCATGGGTGACCCTACCAGTAATTAAGGCCGGTGTTTACACAGTCTTATATTTAAAATCGTTTTAAGTAAAATTTAGAAAATGTTTATTATTTCATTGAGATTGAACAGAATTTTAAGATGCGATCTAAGATTATATTTAAGATGATTAAATATAAAAACAAATTGTATGAATACCGGCCTACGTTACCACCGGCATAGCTCTCCGGATCATTAGAGTACTCAAACCTCCTCACCCGGCAAATGCCTTCGTTAAGGTGGAGATACCATCGAAAAGGTACAATTTTTTTATTTTATTTTCTTTTAATATAATGTAGGTTTTTCAAATTTTCCAAATAGAAAATATAATACAAAGAATGTATAAAATATACATATATTATATATATATTATATAATTATAAAATATTATAATGCATAATTACATAGCTTGCAGTCATATAAAAATATATTACAAAATATATATTATAATTATAGTACAATTTATAAATTGGTATCAACATCAAATAAATATGTATTCAAATTTATTCAAATATTTTCAATAATACGGATAATGATGTTGAGAGCACACACACATTCTTGGACTTACAATAATACTATATATATATAGAAAGAAAAAAAAGGAAAATTCGAAGAATAAAATAATTTTTCGAAAAATGAAGATATATTTTCCATTTTTCGACATTTATTCAAGATTTATTTTCTATTGTTACAAATATCTTTTACACATAATTTTGTTATCATTTTCATAATAGTATAACTTAATATATAATATTTTATTTTAACTCAAAATACAATAGTTATAAAATATACAATAGTTAATAAATTAGAAAATTAATTTAATATATAATAATACAATCAAATTGAAAATATATAATGTAATACATAACAATAAAATATATATTATATATAATACATAAAAAATTGTTATGTAGAATATATACATAGATTACTTTACTACATTACACGAAAATATCCGCAATACGTACAACGTAAAATTGATTAGAAATTTTTAGAAAATTTTTAGATTAGCGTAGCTGATAATCTATCGCGACTAAAAAAATCATTAATAAATTTATCACTTGTGTTCCTCTCAATTAAGAAAAAGTAATTTTAATGCGAAATTTTAATTCATTTTATAAGATTTTCTAAAAGAAATGTTTGATAACGCGGAAAGATAAGTAAAACTTTGATGTTACCCAACAATTAAATCAGAGAAAAAATTAAATTTCGCGGTTTAAATTTCGCGAATATATATGATAAATAAATAAATTAATAATAACAGTAATATTTAACCACAATACACATAATTTCTATAATAATCGGAATACAACGTGCGCAATATAATTATTATCATTTTGTGCGACAATAAAAATATTGCAACATTAGAGGCGCATTTCATATAATTTGCACAATATTATAATATACGTAAGGAATCAAACGCGGATGCAGAATCTAATAGTCGATTTCTTTTCAAATATACAATTTCATGTAAATTTCGCGATCAAAATTAAAATATATATCTTGTTCCGCGAATAATTGCAAACAGGCTAAACTTTAGTATCCTTATGCCTTAAAATAATCGCGTTATCGCCACGCTCAATGAAGAATAACTGGCCCAACGATTAGACCAGATCAAAATCCCTCTGCCGAGTGACACGCTGGTTAATATCTGACAGAGAGAAGAACGATTCTAAAAGTGGGAAGCGACTTCAATTTGTCTTATTTCTTCTATTTCGGATCTCGTGAAATCGATCCACAACGGATAGTTAAGTGATTCATTAAACATCAGAAGCTTCTCTACAAGAAAGAACGAAACCCCGATCTTTCTGATTGCTCCCGATAACAGCGATTTTGGCAGCGGATTAACGACTGTTACCCTTCTTATCATTTTCAATATATAATATTAAAATTCGCGTAAAAAAACATCTTCTTCCATTTTAAGAAATCTTTTCTTTTTACTAAAAAATGACTGGATATAATAGTTTTTATATACATGTTACAATCAAATATATTTAAAGGTAAAATGAAATACATGCGCTTTTATCGTTGCTTGATTAAATGTGTGAATAATAATAATTTTAGGGTACCAAATTTGCTCAAAATTCGAGACAAATCAAATCTGATAACAGCAAGATTAAAAAAAAATTCAACTTGAATATTTAGCAACATCAAATGAAAGATTATCAAGAAATTAATTTTTCTGTTGCATTTAACAGTTAAGACTTAGCACGTAACAATAATTTGCAGATATCTTACTGATATCAGAGTACCCATCCGATTTGTCTCGAATTTTTTAATTAATCACACATTTTATATTATATCATGCATTCCTAATATATTATTAAGAATAATATTAAAAAATAGTTTTTCAAATATGTCACAATTTACGCACATGTATTTTATTATATGTACACTCTTATCTAAAATAAACTAATTATAATATACATAAGATAGTGGAGCATCCAGTAATTCCTGCAAGTGGTTTCTTAAAAGAGACCAAAAATAAAATTAATTCAAAATTAATTAATAAAATATACTTGTTTGTAACCATAATTTTTCAAATAATAAAAATTTTGCACAAAAAACTTATTAAATTAAATTTATATTTGAAAAAGTGAATTTTATCTATTATATCCATTTTTGAATTATTATTTTCATTATTAAAATAATAGTGATATTAATAGGAGGATATTAATGGAAGAACATTTTTAACAAAAAGAGATATATCTTCTCTCAAGAACATTTTTAACAAAAAGAGATATATCTTCTCTCAAGAAATATATCTTCTCTCAAAGTATAATGAATTTTGTAATTCGATTTCAAACAATGTACGGTGATTGTCGTTAAATCACTGCCAAAACATTGTTTCCAGGAACCGCCACGAAAAACTGGGTTTAATTCCTACTCTGTAATGAAACTTTCAATTTTCAATGAGGCATCGAACTAAGCGTTGCGGATAGATCTCACAAAAATCGGCGAGAAATAACTTTCCGCAATGAAAATCATTTCGATTCTCCGCCAGTACAAACCGCGCATTTGCTAGCGTCCACCTGACATGAGGGACAGCGATAAGGCTTCTTCGTCGAGACAGCGATCACATCCAAAAACGTGAAAAGAACGCAATTGTTTGCAATATAATTTATTATAAAATCGTAAATCAATAAATCGTAATCTATAAATATTTAACGCGATGCGAAATTCTCGAAATACATTAAATTAAAAACGATAATCAAAGAAAATTATTTTGTTTTACAGATTTTAATTTCCGCATGATTGATAATGTTTAATATTTCGCAATATTTTATTTTCGAATATACTTGTGTTTTCTATAATATTAAAAGAACGACAAATTTTACGTAAAAAGCTAATATATAATTATTGGGTTAACATCGTGTTTTTCTTGATTCACTTTTATTTAATAACCTTTATATTATGTAAAAAAATTTTTTTTACGGTATTTGCGCGATTACGAAAGTTTCTCGAATTTATTAATAATCTTTTAGTATAAAAAATAAGCTATCCAAATATTTGAATAATTTTGCAATAAAAATATTCAAATAAAATATATCAAATGTGTTAATTAAACAAATTTTGTTATTGTACATATTCACCTAATTTCGTGTAATGTACAATAGATTTCTTTTACATTATTACAACTAGATTATAATTTCTATACAATTGCAAAGAAAATTATGAAAAATAAAAAATAATATAATTATAAATTTATAGATATAATTATAATGTTAATTACAATTTAATAATTGATGCTATTAGTATCAATATTCTCAACATAAAAAAATTGCAAAATTTTTATTATTTAAAATGATTATTCAATGATAATCAATGTATATAATTTCAAATAAGTTAGAAAAAAAAATTATTTAAAT